GGCAGCAGCCACCCTCCCAACCACTGACTTTCTCACTCCACTCAGTGCTGACATCCACGCTGAGAAGCCCTCATCACAGCTCCTGGGCTCTGGACCCCCCCCACCCCTGCACGGACGCACTCCTCACCCCAGGAAGGCTCTGACTTCACAGAGGGCTTCTCCCAAACCTCCCACTTCTGTATGGATGCCCCCTTCTCCTGCTCGGGCTAGTGCGCCACATACCTGGCTACCACGGGCTATGCAGTCTACAGAGAACTCCACCTACTTTTTAAATCAAAATCTGGCTTCACAGCTAGCTTGAACCCCACTCCCCCTAAAGTTGTCTGAACACCACCTGCAGAGGAGCTGTGGCCTTCCTCCAACTGTTCACTCCCTCCCACAGCTCACCGCCCAGACTCAAACTGTCGCAAGGTATGTCACGCTGGGGTATACGTGCGTTCGTGGCCCAGCAGCATCTGTACTTCTGGGCATCCACACAGCACCCAGCACAAAGCAGCCGCCTCGAGCTCTCAGAGCCCCTGGTGATGTGCCTGGGCCGCTGTCTGCCACGCTCCCCTGGTCCCGTGCCCACAGGCACCTCTCCCGGCCTGCTCTCCACCGTCGTCACCAAAGCTTGGGCACAGGGAGTCAGCCTGCCCACGCTGCTCGCCCCAAACCCTCCGGACGTCCGTGTTAGCATCCCTCAGCCTCTCCTGTTCCTGGGACAAAGTGTGAGCAGACGGGGCCAGATTCCAGCAATAACGCTCTCCCCAAGGTCTCCTGATCACCCCCCCCAGGAACTCCACATAAAGTAACACCACCCCAAGGTCAGAGGTCACGGGCCATTTAAGAAATTGGAACGAACAGCCTCACCTTCCTCTACATCACTGTCCCTGATCTGCACGCTGCCTTTCTTCACACTCCACCCCCAGCCCATGGAACCTGGTCCCTGCGCCCACCAGATACCTTCCCTGTCCCACAAGCACCCTCCCACCGAACCAGGTCAAGACTTCTCCCCTGAAATGCCCTCCCAGTCTAGCCACACCTTCAGTTGCACCAATAAGCTCGCAGCCTCCCCGTGACCCACATTAGTTAATGCTCTTAACCGACAGGTTAGGCTCCAGACTTTGGACTAAACCCTGGCTTTCCCACATGAAAAGCTGGAGCATCCTGGACAAACATTTAAAATGATCAGAGTCACTGGTTTTTTTTTTAATCCTCACCAGAGGATATTTTTCTATTTATCTTCAGACAGAGTGGGAGGGAAAGAGAGAGGGAGAGAGAGAAACATCGATGCGAGACAGAAACATCAACTGGTTGCCTCTTGCACGACCCTGACCAGGGCTGAACTGCAACCGAGGTACATGCCCTTGACGGGAATCGAACCCACAGGCTGACACTGGCCAGGGCAGAGAAGCCAGGGCATGGCCGCGGTGCAGAGCAGCAGTGCGTGTATGGGGAGCCTGGCCTAGAACCGGCAGGTGCTGGATTCGGCACAGCTGGAGCACGGCCCTCAGCGTGTTTCTGCAATCACTCAGGAGGGGCCGCACATCTCAGAGCTGCACGTGGAGTGTCCAGGGCAAAGCAGGGAGCCCAAGACGACACAGCCAGAGACACTAGAGCCCGGCTGCTCTGAGCGGCCTATCCAGGCGAGGTCAGCACGCAGAGCGCCAGCCTCCTGCGAACCTGCCAGGGAGAAGGCCCCTGGCCCCCAGGCCCAAGCACCCCCCCCCCCCCCCAGCCATGTCTCTTCTAAGAGCTGACAGGGCTGAGTGGAAATCTGCATTTTAATCAGCTCCCACACGACTCGTGTGCACATTAAAGTTTGAAAAGTACTGCTTTAGACAATGCCCCCCTTCCAGCCCAATGTTTCCTCCAAAACAGTATAAATGTTTTAGGCCCTGGGCTTGTTTTCGTGTATTTCCCACAATGCTGCAGGGGAGCCAGTATAGACAGCGCAGCTAGGAGCACAGACTCTGAAGTCAAACTACTCCATTCAAGGCTGCGGGAGATTTCAGGAGGCGCAGTGTCTGGCACGGCAGGCCCCGCCAGGGCGGCCATTCAGCTGTTACTGTCGAGCAATGTGCTATAAGGATGGCATGGGGAAGGGACGTCTCTCTGAGTCACTGACATGGAAGAAGAAGAACCAGTCACAAACCATAATTTGGGAGAAGAGACCAGAAAAAGTACAAGATGATCAAGGGGCCCTGGTGGGTGTGGCTCAAGGGTTAGAGCATCAGCCCATGCACCAATGGGTTGTGGGTGTGATTGCCAGTCTAGGGCACATACCTGGGTTGCCGGCTGGGAGTCAAACAATGGATGTGTCTCTCTCACATCGATGTTTCTCCCTCTCTCTCCCCCTCACTCCTGCTCTCTCTTTAAAAAAAAAAATCAATGGAAAAAAATATCCTTGGGTGAGGATTAACAAAGAAAAACAAAACCAAGGGGGTAGCAGTGGAGATCCCACAGGTCAGCAGACACTCAGGCTGGGAAGTTTAATCTAAGTGGGTCTGGAAGCCACTCAGGAGTGTGACGTGACATGTCTTCAAAGAGCACTCTGATTATGGTGCGAAGTGGAGCACAGGGCTCAAAGCTGAAGCAGGGGGGCCAGCTGGGAGGCTCTAGAAGTGGTCAAGGCAGGAGAGAAGTATCAGCCTGGATTCCACACAGCTGTGAGCAGCAGCTCAATTCGGGACTACTTGGAAGGCGGCGGCTGCTGAACTGGACCTGGAAGGAGATGCTGAGGATGGTTCTGGGTTTGCAGCCTGAGTCCCTAAGCGAGGTGATGTGAGTTTTGTCTGAGATGTCCCTGAGATGTCAGGTGAGGACGTCGGGTTTGACACTGAAGGCTGGCCGTGGGGAAGAGCCCTGAAGGCGAGGATGAAGCCTTTCTTTCCTTCAGAGTCTCTCACCATCCTATAATGTGCTCAGTACACATCAAGGAACAGCATTTCAGGACAAAGTGACAGTGGTTCTGGAGAGTGGCCATCCCGATGCTGGCGCGCAGGTGAGAATTTGTACAGCAGTGTCTAAGGAGCTGGGAGAAGAGCAAGGAATCCAGGGTGCAGAACGGGCATCGGACCCTGAAGGCTGGCTCGCTTTACAGAAAGGACAGCAAAAGGAAACAGAAGCAGGACAGGTTTGGGGACGAGGGGAGGTGGGTGGAATGTCTGCGACAGGAAGCCCAACAGCGGAGTACCGCTGGAGAAGGGGCAAGATGAAGGACTGGTTCAGGGAAGAAGCGGCCCATCGCATGGAAGGATCTGGAAAGCTTAGGGCGCTGAGGTCGTGTCTCTCCTCCCTACTTCTCGTAAAGCTCGGAGGCAGCCGCTCACCCTTGCCAGTTTGGGGCCGGAACACAGACAGAGATCTTCCCCTTCTCCTAGCCGGAAGAGCTCCTCGGGGACCCCCTGAAGAGCAGCACACTCCTCCCTCAGAGCCAAGCACCATCCTGCTGGCGCAAATGAATCCAGGCCAGCTCTCACCTCTTCCTGGCAGATAAGAGTCTCTACAGAAACCTTCTGATGGAGAACAAAACCCAGGGCAGATGCCTCGTAGTCCATGCTCCTTTGTTCCGTGCCTACTGACCACTCCTCAGACAATGTCCTGGGTGTTGTGAGGACCCAAGAGAAACGAGTCCCTGGCCAGCCGGGGACGCAGGGCACACACCCGCACACACAGCTGCACAAAGCAAGCAGGACCGTGAATGCAAAGCAAGTGCACCTGAGATGGTGACCGTAGCCCCAGGGCCGGTGTGAAGCTTGTCTGGGGTTGGCCACCACTGTTCTCCAGGCAAAACCAACTCCCTCCTCACTGCTCCCCCAGCGCCGTGGGGTTGGCTGACCCACCTGCTCCAGCAGCGCCCACTCGGGGCCGGCGCCGGGTCCGGCCCGAAGTCTGCACGCAGCAGTCGCCCCTGAAGTGTTCCTAACGGGCAGGAAGATGGCTCTGCTGCCAGAAAGCCACCGTCCAAGCCCCTGCTCTGCTACTTCCTGGCTGTGTGACCTTGGGCAGGTGGCTTAACCTCTCTGCGCCTCGGTTTCCCGGGCGAACCGCGCCTGCCTCACTGACGCCGCGCGCTGGGCGCCGGCCGAGCAGGTGCGCCTCGCGCCCGCACCGACCGCGCAGGGGAGAAGCCCGGCGCCCGCCCGGGGCCGCGCAGGGCCCGCGCTCACCCAGTTTCCGAAGCCGAACTGCTCGATGGCATCCAGCAGCAGCTGCTCCTCGCGGCTGGTCCAGCCGCCCTCGGCCTCGGGCCCCCAGAGCGTGAAGCGCCCGCCGTCCACCAGCTGGTAGCCGTGGTAGCGGCGGTGGTGGCCGATCTCGGCGCCGGCGGAGAAGCACTCGGGACACAGCTCGATGTCCTGGCACTCGGTGCAGCGGAAGCGCAGCGGGCTCACCTCGGCCAGGCAGTACACGCAGTACTTCTTACCGAGCTCCGCCATCTTCCCCCGCCCGCCGCCCGCGCCCGCCGCCGCCGCCGCCGCGCCCGCCGCCCGGGGCGCCGCCTGGGCCGCCGCCGCGCTCCAGCAACCGCCGCCCGCCGCGCCGCGCCGCCCCGCCCAGGCGCCGCCGCCGCCGGCCAGCCGGGCCGCGTCCCGCCTCAGCACGCAGGCGCCCTTCGGCCCGGCCCGGCCGCCACCGCCGCCGAAGCCCCGCCGCCTCGCGCAGGCGCCCCGCGCGCGCCACCGCGCGGAGACCCGGCCCGCCGCTCTGCGCCTGCGCGGCCCTCGCGCCGGCCTCCCGCCCCTCCCAGAGCCTCCCGACGCCACGCCCCAGCCCGGGCGCTGGGAAATGGGCGGAAAACAAGCGCGGCGTGCGCGCCACACCTCCCTCGGCGCGAGCCTACGCCTTCTCCCAATCAACGCCGTGGGCCGTGCGCTCGCGGCCTCCCATTGGCTTTAATCTGCTGGAAGGCGGGGAGAAGGGGCAGGCCGTCGAACTGACGACTGGCCAATCGCCGGGCCCACTGCGAGCGCCCCTGGTTGCCCCTGGAAACCTAACAGCCGGCAGCCGGGTTCAGCTGCGCTCGCAGCCGGACAGATGGACGGCCCCTCCGAGCAGGAAGACGGAGATGTGGTGAGCCTGGCCTCGCGGCTGTCCGACAGCAAGGCCAGGTCCGGCCCCCAGTCCTCGGCCGAGCTCGCAGAGCCGGGGCCGGAAGCCGTAGAGACTTCGGAGGGGGGCGCCGCCGCGGCCGAGTCGGCCGAGCCCCCCGAGCAGGCCAAGCCCCCTGAGCCTGTCGAGCCCCCCGAACCCCCCGAGCCTGACGAGCCCCCCGAGCCGGCCGAGCTCGCCGAGCTCCGGGAAGGACCGGCGGACACCGAGGCTGAGGGCGAGGCTGAGGGCGAGGCTGGGCCTGGAGAGCGGGAGTGGCCGGCCGAGCCCGAGGCCGAGCCCGAGGAGCCAGCTAAGCAGGGGTCCGAAGGCGGGCCCGAGGAACCCGAGGAGGATGAGAGAGAAGAGACGGAGGAGGAGGAAGAGGGGGAGGCAAGGAGGAAGAAAGCCCGGTCCCAGGTCTCTCTGCCTCGGTCCGCGAGCGGCCGGGAAGAGGCTGTGCCAGTCCCGGAGGCTGAGCGGGAGGGATCAGAGGAGGAGGCAGAGAGCGAGAGGAAGACTCTGGAAGGAAGCCCCGAGAAAAGCGAGTTCGGGCAGGACGATCTGGACGAGGAACTCCAGGATGAGGACTTGGAATGGACCGAGGAGGTGCAGATGCAGCAGGAACAGCAGCTGCGCTCCGAGCTCCTGGAACAGTACCGCACCCTGATGGCGGAGCGGAGCCACTACCAGCGCTACAACGCCTTCGTGCAGCAAAAGATCCTCGACGCGCTGCGCAAGAAGAAGGGCCTGGATGCAGCCGAGGTGCCCGAGAAGGGCGCGGAGCCCGAGGCCCCTGAGAAAGAGGCAGCATACCTCCGTTGTCTGGCCATGCTGGAGGAGCTAAGGAAGCAGCAGGCTGACGACCTGGACTGGTATCACCAGGAGCTGGACCAGCTGAAGCAGCAGTGCAAAGAGAAGCTCTCCAGGGTGGAGAAGGAATGGCGAAGCTTCCAGGCACTCAAGAAGCAGGTGGTGATGCAGGCCATGGGCAGCTGTTGGATGAAGGGCGGTCGCCAGGCCGCTCTTCGAGAGGTGGAGCAGATCCAGGCGCTGGAGGATAAGAAGGAGAAGGAGATGAGCGCCGTGAGGCTAGAGAATGTGCAACTGAAGCAGAGCCTAGTGCATTTTGAAACCAGGATGAGGGCTCAGGAGGACACCACCGAAGGCCTGTTTCTCATCGATTTTGAACAGCTTAAGATTGAGAACCAGACCTTCAATGAGAAAGTTGAGGAGCGAAATGAGGAGCTTTTGAAACTGCACAGCAAGGTGAACAACAATGTGCAAATCATTACCCATGTGAAAGAAAAGTTACACTTTGTGGATATTGAAAATGCATGCAAAAAGTCACAGCTTTTGGAAATTGAGGCTCAGGTGGCCCTGAGGAGGGACATCTTGACCAAGACAAAGCAAACTCGAGACAGTCTGCGGATTGACAACATCAAGCTGAATCAGAAGTGTGGGCTTCTGGGCAAGGAGTCACTCCTTCGGGACCTGGAAGAGAAGGTAGGCAGGACTGAGCAGCTCAAGGAGCACTTAGAATTCCTGAAGCGCCACCATGCTGGGCTCACCCTCTCCAGCAGAGGAGTGAAGCAGAAGATCAAGGAAGCCAGAGCCTTCCTCCCCTCTTGAGAAGAGTCAGCAGAACGGCTTCAATCTCAGCGAACGTTCTTCTTTGTTAACTTTTATCCCCCTCCCCTTTTCTTGCCATTCTTTAAAAGGCTTATATTTAGAATAGAACTACATTTTGTATTTATCTCATAATTTTTCATCTTCCAAATGAGTGCTGAGCACAAAATTGGGTTTAGCAGTTTGATACAGGGTCAAACAAAACAGGTCCAAAGCAGCAAAAAACAGGTAATGTACCCGACTTCCCAGGAAAAGCTGTCAAAAGCGTTTTATATCTGAGCAACGTAATTTCAATGACCCGATACTGAACACTGTTCAGTATGTAGGAGGACTCAACCAATGGGCAAAATATCCCCCAAATTCCTATGCTAATTATTAAATCTCTTTGAATTTATTAAACTGTGTAGTCCCGAGTCATTTTCAATTCAAAGCTCACCAATTCCCTTAGATTAACCTAAAATTGTTTTGTATGTAAGTAGCCTAACCTGTGGTATAATAAAATATCAGGAAACAGAGGAAATGATAACTAGGAAAGGGGCTGGTGTGCCTTCATCTTGCCTTTTTCAGTGAAAGGAGGCTCAGTCTGCTTAGCCATTGATGTGTGTTTCTGGCTCAGTGACAGTCTTCAAGTCTAATGAAACGTTTCCTTGGCTCCTCTAAAGGAATGCATTGATCTCTACCAATAAATGACATTTTGTTTTATAGTGAAGACAGTGATGGTTGTGTTTTGCCAGGTGCAATATATATGGAGTGGTGACTGCTGACCATAAGCCCTTTGTTTTCAGCAGGACAACAGGATCCTCACTATGAACATGCTTTTATCTGTATCAAATATTAAAATGCCTAGTATTCCTTGTGTTGATGTAAGAAATAGTTGAAAGGTCTATCTCCTTAATACAGAATCCGTGATTAACATTTTCCATTTTCTTTGATGCTTTTGGAGCTAGGGGCTTGGCTTTATACCTTTTTAATTTAAGGTTAAATTTTGAGATGTGCGGGTTTGGGATTAAAAGTATTCTCCCATCCCTATCCTTAAGTGGATCACAAGAAGGGTGAGCTATTTTTTGGTGCTAAATACCTTTTAGGAATGGCAGCAACCCCACTCCAGGCAGTCAACTCGCTGGTTCTGAGACTGTCACAATAACCTTATCTTTTGACGCTTTTGTTTTCCAAAGTGTTTTCCCTTTGATGGCAATAAAGGTGGATTAAAATTCCTTTTTACATTCCACATCTTAAATACACTTTTTATAGTAATATCCTTATCCTACCACATAAACGTAACCATGAGGGAGTAAAGAGCTTTGACTTCCTACTTCCATTCTCATCCTCTACAATTTGGGGTTTTTTTCTACCTGTTCATCGAGGCCAAAATGAACAGGCAAACAGAGTATCTTTTTCTTTGAGCCTCAAATGAAAAGCAATACTGGGTTCTTCTGTGATTGGGGAGACTTCAAAGTGGAACTACCAATATGCCTGGGGCCTTCACTGAGGAATCAGCTTTTGTAAGTGTCCCTTTGGTTCACTAGAGGGAGAAGAGGTATCTTCAGCTCATTTTGACCCACTGGCAATCATCCAGGTCAAACCAAACATTCCCTCATCTGTCTGGACCTCTGTTCGGCAGCAAGTCTCTGAGAACACAATGAAACAAGAGGCTGGCATTGATTCAAGGGGCAAAGCTACGATACTCCCTCACAGTCTATTACTGAACACTACAATGTTACAATTAATTAGGAGATAATCTTGCTTACTTCATAACAAGTTTTTTTCTGATTAGATTATAGGAGAGCTCTTAACCATGAAGTAGCAACACATTCACAAATTGTTTTTAGACCGACCGCCTTGAGGAAGCGTGCTGCAAACCCTAAAGCATCCCGTCCCATCTTACCGACGTGCTGCGTTTAGCCCCAAGCTAGCCTGACACGCTACTTTGTACTGTCTGCTTAGTTCTCTGTACCCCCATGAGACAAAGGCCCCAGAAGGCAAGGACTCTGGTGTATCATCCCCACTAGTAGCCAGGGCAGTGCCTACCCTATATAATCAGTGCTCAATAAATTTGTTGAATACATTAATACGATGCCAGTCTCATTTCCTGAAAACGTGTTACTTGAATGCCTATTGTATGTCAGACACTGATAATTCCTACATCAGATTAAAAAAATAACTACAGGTAGGCAGGCTTGTCATGCAAGGGCGACCGCACACATACAGAGCACCCATCGCAGGACTAGAAACCTCTCAGTGTGAAGACTATTCTCATGAAAGCTAAAATCAAAGGCAAAAAAGTTTTTCATGTCCTTGTCAAAAAGTACAGGGCCTGAAAAACGCAGTTAAACTGCGCGAGCTGCTCCATGGGGCTGGACCTTGGGAAGCGGTGTCGGCACCCCTCCGCGCTCCGGGAGGTGTCGGGTTCTGGCGCGCTGGCATCTGAAAAGGACACACTCTTTCATCAGTAAACGAGTCGTTTTTGGTGACTTACCTACCACATTTGGGATTTTTTAATTATGTAAGTAGAAATATACATGCTTTTGTGTGTAAATTCATCTGCAGCCATTGTTTAGATTTTACCACTGTGGGGCAGAGGGCCTGTCCATAAAATAGTATTGGAGTTAATGCACCTCAATTTGGTGCTTTTTGTTTTAAACTTTCAGAAAGTCTTAAGGTGTGTCACGCAAGCGCTATGGTGGCAAGGACTCCAGGGGACGCCACCCCGGAGGAAGGCGAGGTCGGGCGAGCCAGGTCCCGGACCGCAGGAAGGGCACTGCTGAAGTCCGCTCCTCCTGCTTCCCACGGAGAAGTCCTTTCCGGGGGTCTCGTTTTCATTTAAATAACCAACAATTAAATATGTATGTTTTAATCAATCAGTTCACACCATCCCCAATTTCCAATGGATGAAGTCTTCGGATACTTCACCCGAAGGGTGGAGACAGAGGTCCTAGGAGAGCGCAGTGCCTGGGGACAAGGCCTGTGGGATCCGCCTGGCTTCGGCTCTCCCGTGTCACCTGGGGACAGACACCGCAACCCTCCAAGCCTCCATGTGCTCACTTGTAAAATAGGGAAAAAAGGTCAGAACCTGAAAAACAGTATCTCTCTTCTGTGTGGTGATATGATTTTTATTTTCTTTATGCTTTTCTGTAATCTACAAGTTTTATACGATGAACACTTGGGTGGGGGTCCTGACTTTTAAAAATTCTTAAGTTCACCAAGAGCATTTTGCATGTCAAGAGAATGAGCCTGTATGGGATACCATCTCACACCTGTCAGAATGGCTATCATCCATAAATCCACAGACAAGTGCTGGCGAGAATGTGGAGCAAGGCAACCCTTGCGCACTGTTGGTGGGAATGCAGACTGGTGCCGCCACTGTACTACGAAGTCACCTCAACAAATTACAAACGGAACTGCCTTATGACCTGGTGATTCCACTTCTGGGAATTTATCCGAAGAAACCCGAAACACTAGTTCGAAAGAACACGTGCACCCCTATGTTCACAGCAGCGTTATTTACAATAGCCAAGATCTGGAAGCCGCCCCAGCGTCCATCAGTAGACGAGTGGATAGAAAAGCTGTGGTACATTTGCATAATGCGATACTACTCAGTCATGGAAAAAAAAGAAAATTTCACCCCTTGTGAAAGGAGGGACCTGGAGAGCACTATGCCGAGTGGAGTAAGCCAGTCAGAGGAAGACAAGTACCATACGATTTCACACGTATGTGGAATCTAATGAACAAACAACTAACAAGCAAAATAGAGACAGACTGAGAGAGAGCAGGCTGACAGCTGTCAGTTGTGGGGGGCAAAGGGGTGGAAGGGTTAAACAAAAAAGAAAAGAAAGAATTCACGGACATGGAAAAAATAATACTTTTATTTTTAAAAAGAGAGTCTTGCTATCTACATGGATTTCTTTTAATGATACAATTAGTTCAGCAAATCATTTTAATCCTCAAATCAGTGGACAGGCGCTGGGTACCCTTTTAAACCTTGGTTACAGTAAAGGAAAAGGAGGCTTAGCAAATTCCAATTCTCCCATTTCTAACCTTCAGCTAAACTGCACCTTAAAGTTGGGTTTAGTATTGATCGGAGCGTTTTATGAAACAGTGTTGAGACTCGGGTCAGGCAGGAGTAACCTGCTTTGCTGGGTTGTTCAGGGAGAAGGCCACTGCCCCTCCACCCACAGGGAACCTTGGCGGGCTCGGCATCCCGGGAAGAGAGGGCCTCGGCTCGGCCACTGCTCGGTGGAGTAGCTCTGTCCTCGGGCAAGCGGGAGCCTGGAGCCACGCACGAGCTAGACAGTGCTGCCACCGCAGAAATCCCCGCAGACCTGCAGCCACGGCCGCGTTCCTGGGGCGGCTCCGAGCGTCACGTGGCCACCTGAGGACTCACTCTGGCTCCAAGGCTTCATGTGCCGCTCCACCTGGAGGTGGCCTTCCTCTGGTCCACCTTGGTGTCTCCTGGATTCTCCACAGCGTCTCATCCGTGTTGTCTTTGTGGCAGGCTCCACACTTCAGGTGGTGACTTTTGAACTGGCAGCCCCTCACCCCATTTCACTTAGGGAAACACTGGCCAGCTTCAACCCCCCCTCGTGTGCTTCCTGGAAGGAGGCCAGCCCCGAGCTTCCCCAGGCAGAGCCTGCCACACAGGAGGGGTTCCGGGAGCAAGTGACTGCAGGCCTCCCCCAAACCTGCCCTTGGAGCGGAGGTCGGCTAGGGGGCAGGCATGCTCTCTGGAAGGCTGTTTCTGCACAGGGTCTGGGGAGCCACAGACCCAGCCGGAACCCAGCCCTGCCCCAGCAGATCACACTCGGAGCCACACCTTTGAAATAGGGGCAATGACAGCTGCTGTGGAGATAGAGTGAGGCCGTTTGTGGAGCATGCAGAGCTCCAGTGATGTGACTGTCACCTGTGACCACCACCCCGCACTCACCTCACAGCCCGTGCAGAACGGAAGCGAGGGCAGGGAGGCGCAGTGGTCCAGCTGGGAGGAAGGCGGGGCTCTGAGCTCCACACGGGGCCCTGGGCTGCCGAGTCTGGGGAGGAAGGGCCAGGAGGCGCAGCACAGGGGGCACAGTTCCCCAGGACAGGCCCCAGGAGGCTGAGGGTGATGCAAGGGGGAAACAGAAGGGGTGGCAACATCTGTGACAGTAGGGGAGGACAAGAACAAGAGAGAAAGCAGCCCTGAGGGCTCGTTCCTGAGCCTCCAATTCTCTACCCAAGTCGCTGGCCCGACCTGCACCACCCTGTGGCCCACAGGGCACTTGAGCTGCCTGGTGACCCCGAGGATCTTCAGCCACCACCTGGATGCGGCAGAATCACTGGTCACTCCACAGACGGCGCCGAGGCCCGCGGCGCTCCGCTAACACCAGCACCCGGCCGACAAGGCTCCGAGCTGGCACCTTGGGGGCGGGGGTGGTGTGTGAGGAGTCCAGCACGAGTGCTGAGGACGTGGCGCCTGGTGGGCTGTGGCGGGCTCAGCAGCGGGCTCAGCAGCGGGGGCCGGAGAGTGGCAGACACGTCGGAAGGGGGCTGCGGCTGGGGGCACAGTCAAGTTTGAGAGGGGCGGCTAGTCCGGGGCTCCCCATCGGCTTGGAAGGGGCACACTAAACTCTCAAACCCCTTGACCAAATTACCAAGATTGTGCCATCCTTTGGATTTCACTGACCCTGATACGTGCAGTTTAAGATACTGAAAGAGCACAACGCTCAGGCAAGTATCTGCCACACTTCACGGTGAGAACTTCCATTTTAAACCAAACTACAGTGTATAAAAGTAACAATTTTACATGACTTTTATTTAATAAAACCATATATTTACAATTCAAAAAGTCCTAATTTGATACACTTTACTAAACAAGATTAAAGGTTAACTGTACAGCAATTAAAACATGATATGCAGCAAGTGTTATCAGGATTTTTCTATCAGCAAACTATTTAAAATAGTCAAAACTGAGCAGTTTAAAAGAATAGTTTAAATTAAGTGAAACTCGTTTTTAGATGAGATTCCAGGCCTGGTGGGGCCAGGGCTGCACTGAGGTCCAGGCCCAGGGAGTGGGAGGTGCGGGCTCCCCGAGGGTGTGGTGCCAGTTTTCGCAGTGGACACGGCCACCCGAGCAGCACAGCCGTGCTCTCCAGCAGCCCTCCGTGGAAAGGGGCCACGTGGCCCTGGGCAGGATGAGAACCTTCTGGCCTCTGAGGGGACAGAGCAAACCAGCCAGACCTCACGGGGCCCCTGAACTGGAGATCTGGTAAGGACTCGGACGAATGGAGTCCTGTTTAAAACTGAGTGTAAATGGTGCTATCCCAAGGTGTGAACCGAGAAACCTCTAAGGGCTGGGTCTGAACGCACAAATGCATTCTAAGGCCGGCACGCCGCCCGGGTTGCACCACTTTCTGTCACGACTTAAGGAGCATCCTTATGGACAGTAAGAAAAGATGTACATCTTTCAGGAACAAAAAGCCCATGTCATGGAACAAAACGGGCACACCTGCAAGGCATGGCTCAGTCCAGGTTACATTCAGCACTGTGGTGTCGGGGACCGGCTGTCTGGAAGGTGCTGAGCTCTCAGGGAAGACCCCCTCCCAGAGGTCAGCCAAGTCAGCATTTAAAGGCTGAGGCAGAAAGTGGTTTCCACGACGCGCTGTGACCTCCCTGGAGAACGCAGTAAGGAGGCTGGGGAACAAAGGTGATCCCAAGGAAACACACAGAGCAGAGCCAGGGTGGGGGGCACGAGGACAGCACAGGCTTGGCAGCAGGGAGCACTGGCAACGAACATGGCAGACACAGAAAACCCATAAAAATACCCCACAGCCAGGCTTCGCCCTCCACCCCAGGTCTCCCAGCTGCAGGCTAGACACTCTCAGAGCTGAGGGCACTCCCCACATCAGAAACAGGACCAACCCGGGGCACTCCCGGGGCTGGGCAGTGTGGCTGAGAAGGGCCAGAGAGTGCCAGACCCCAGTGCGGCACCACCGCACAGCAGCCGGTGCCCTGAAACCGGCCATGCCACCAGCCCAGAGACCAACATGCCAATGGGTTATCACACGGGAATCTGTTTCCATAGAGATGTGCTGGTCCTTTGGACTGCTCTGTGCAAAATCTATTTATTTATTTGAATTTGGATAATCAAGTTCTTAATACAAAGTACTCAAAATTCATTAAGGAAAATCTAGAACAAAAAAGGGCTAATGAACTTGGGGAGACCAGCGAAAATGGAAAGGCTGATGGTATGGGCACTGAGACTGTGACAAGACTGTCTGGGCCGCTGGATGTGTGTGGCTCGTTTCTCAGTCCTCACAATAGTCTATCTTTAAGCCCAATGCATGAGGAGGGGAACACTGGCACTCAGGGCTGATGCTGCTGTTCAGGTGACCAAGGACAGAGGAGCATTCTGTCAGAGCAAAGGAGCAGGCCCCCCAAACACACACACACACACACCCCTGTGCTGTCTGCGCCTGCACAGAAATGAGCAGGGCAGGTCTAACACCCTCGTTCTGTCTGCTTTGATTTAAAGGAGACTGTTTGCATCTTGTCTCCGTCGGTTTTAGGGCTGTTTCTGCGTCCCAGGGCTTCTGTGTGCACACCTCTGCCTACTCGACCTTCCCTGCACTGCCCAGCAGGTATAGGGAGCAAGCTCTGGGAGCACAGGGCTCCCCCTGGGCCCACACGTGCAGCTTTAGCCTCGTGCTGTGACTGTGTCAAGGCAACATGGTAAAACATCAGCCCAAGGGCAGGTCGAGTCCCAGGGCGTCCATGAGAACTCGTTTGCCTTTAATGCGTCTTTGGTAGGAGGGCTTTAATAACTGAACCTCCATTTCTGGAAAAATTATCTCGATAACTAAATCAGTAATCCCTTTCTTATCAAAATAGGTAACTATGGGCCAGTAACAACTCTGAGATCTCACAAATAACTTCTCATGCACCTCGGCTAAGAAAGACTGTGATGTCCCTTCCAGTAGTTGACATAAAAGCTTTGCATTTAATGAACGTTAGTGGAGTAAAGGGAGAGAGCCACGGCCCTATTTTTAAACTATGCAGAGTATGCAATGGTTGCCATGTCAACACTAGGTCATCATTCCACTGAGCTTCTTAAGGCTAAGCCTTGGTTTAATTCCTTAAGAGTTTTGTTTTGTTTTGTTTAAGGCCAACTCCAGTATCAGGAACCGAACGTGAAAACAGCCCGTTCTCAGCTGCCAGTGTGTCCGCCGCAATAACACAGGTGCGCTCAGAGCTCGCTCCGGGCCGAGCGCGAGTCCACCTGCCGCCTCAGTGTCTGAGCGACGGGCTTCCTTTCTCCATCTCCCGGCTGTCCCTCTGCACCGCAGTCAGCACCTGGGATCACAGGGAAGACGTCTATGGGTGACCTGGGACACACACTGGGCACCGATCCCGAGGGGCTCACGTGGCGACTCTGCCTCCCGCTTCTGCCACTCCTGAGGCCCACCTTCGACTCCTGCACCCAGACTCACCTTTCCACCATGGAGTTCCACCATGCCACCTCTGGGCCGATGTCCTCCACCCACGTCCCGCCGGCCACAGTGCGACAAAGATGGACTCGGGGCTCTCCTCACATCCGCCCCTGTACACACCACCACCGAAGCTGGCTTCCCTCTCCTTCCTGAGCTTTCCCAAAGGGACGGGCTCCCTCCTCTCTGCTCCAGCTCCAGCTTACACCTTTATTTTTTTAAATATTACACTCCACTGCTGACTGTCTAACGACAGTGGTGATAATAACATTGGCTGCGGTCCTTGAACACTCTAGGTCAAGCAGAGCCCTCACCCACCAGGCATGTCCTGCACAGTGCCTATTTACTCCACACAACAAGTTCAGGAAGGGAACGCCCCCTCGTAAGGCACCTGAGCGACGGCGCCCACAGATGTGACTTGCTCCAAGATGAACAGCTCATATGGATTCAAACCCAGCTTTGTCTAATTTATAAGCCCAGGGAAGCCCTGGAGCACCTGTGCTAATCCGCCAGGCCAGGCACTAGGCCGCTGTAATTACAAACCTCAAGGAGTAAAGCAGAACTATTTTATGTAGGTTTCAAATAGGCTGCACAGAGGACCAATAGTAGATAAAAACTCCCCATCCGACCTGGCCAGTGTAGCTCAGTGATTGAGCATCAACCCATGAACCAAGAGGTCACCAGTTCGATTTGAGGTCAGGGCAGATGCCCAGGTTGTGGGTCCAATCCCCAGTGGGGAGCATGCTGGGGGCAGCCAATCGATGTTCTCTCTCACCAATATTTCTCTCCCTCTCCCTCTCCCTTCCACTCTCTCTAAAAATCAATAAAGAAATAAAAGCCCCCCACCTCACCTATAAGCAAACAGGACTGCCAACCAAACATAAACACATACTTGTTTTGTAAAGCTCACTGGGTCTTCACCTCAAGCACAGCCTTTAAGAGGAATGTGCATGGACCACAGTTTCCACAGGGCCAGGGCCTGAATGAAACGCCATGATGCTCACCCCACACCTACCATCAGGCTAACTCCTGTCACCAGCCCCATTATAAAGTGTCCAATAAACTCTGGTCTCGTTTTAACCAATAATTTTTACTTAGTTGCTAACGCGCAAGCAGCAAAATGTTTACTCTTTCCCTCTGTGTGTTTGGGGGTGGGGATGAGGGGGTGTCTTATGTATGGATGTGTATGTGTGGGTGTGGGGGTGTGTATGAGGGTGTATGGGGTTGTGTGGGGGTGTATGGGTGTGTGGGGCTGTATGGGTGTGTGGGGTTGTGGGGGTGCATGGGTGTGTGGGTATATGGGTGTATGGGTGTGTGGGGGTGCATGGGTGTGTGGGGCTGTATGGGTGTGTAAGGGTGTGTGGGGGTAAGGGTGTGCGGGGTGTATGGGTATGCGGGGTGTATGGGTGTGCGGGGTGTAAGGGTGTGTGGGGTGTAAGGGTGTGTGGGGTGTATGGGTGTGAGGGTGTGTGTGTGGGGTGTAAGGGTGTGTGGGGTGTATGGGTGTGCGGGGTGTAAGGGTGTGCGGGGTGTATGGGTATGCGGGGTGTATGGGTGTGCGGGGTGTAAGGGTGTGTGGGGTGTAAGGGTGTGTGGGGTGTATGGGTATGCGGGGTGTATGGGTGTGTGGGGTGTAAGGGTGTGTGGGGTGTAAGGGTGTGTGGGGTGTATGGGTGTGTGGGGTGTATGGGTGTGAGGGTGTGTGTGTGGGGTGTAAGGGTGTGTGGGGTGTATGGGTGTGCGGGGTGTAAGGGTGTGCGGGGTGTAAGGGTGTGCGGGGTGTATGGGTGTGTGGGGTGTAAGGGTGTGTGGGGTGTAAGGGTGTGCGGGGTGTATGGGTATGCGGGGTGTATGGGTGTGCGGGGTGTAAGGGTGTGCGGGGTGTATGGGTGTGCGGGGTGTATGGGTGTGTGGGGTGTAAGGGTGTGTGGGGTGTAAGGGTGTGTGGGGTGTATGGGTGTGTGGGGTGTATGGGTGTGAGGGTGTGTGTGTGGGGTGTAAGGGTGTGTGGGGTGTAAGGGTGTGTGGGGTGTAAGGGTGTTAAGGGTGTGTGGGGTGTATGGGTGTGAGGGTGTGTGTGTGGGGAGGCCACAGGGAAACACCAGAGGCATGGATAGGAAGATCAGACTGCACAGACTGAAAAGTGATGGCAGTTATACCCAGGGAAGCTGGGGAGACCTTTGTCCTGGGAAGCCATGGGAGGAGTGGGGCTTGGTGAGTGTTAGTTCCCCTCACTTTCTGTCTCAGGCATTTTCTTAAAAGGTGGAGGAGCTGGTGTACAAAATGCTGTCTACTGTGCGGAGAGCAGCATGATGACAAACCAGAAGTCCTGACCTCCCAGCGCACTGCAGAGGGGGTGGCTTTCCCCACCCAGCCCTCCGTCTGACAGAGACCCGAGGAGGAAATGACTACACGAGACCCCCTGGCAGAGCCAAGCCTCAATGCCAGGTCTGCGGCGCATGAACCACCATGGAGAGGGCTGTTTCCTCCAAGGGCTCTCTGAATAAGGGGCTCCTAAATTATACTGCTGAGCCCCATCCCCAAGGGAAAAAGAGGGATCAAGATCCACTTACCTGAGCCCACTTCTTGTTTCGACTGTGCATCTGAATTGCAGCTATGGAAGCAAAAAACTCCTCCGAGGGCAGGTCGTCGGGCAGCCTGGTGAGGAACTGGGCTATGTGAATGAAGTCCATCCTGGTCAGGATGTCCTCGAACAGCTTCAGGATGCCCAGGGCCGTGCGGAACAGAAACTCCTCCCCGTCGCGGCAGAACACATCCCATATGCGACAGGCCAGGTCGAGGGGCAGAGATTTACTGTATAAAGTAAAGATCCTGGAAAAGAAGTGGGAGTTCTTCAGATTTGGAGTGGCACAAAGAAGTAACTCTGAATTCAGGTGTACTCTGTCACAAATGCTCCCCAGTCAATTCCCTTCATAATCAGTTACAAACGTGGGGGCTGCGGGGGCAGAGGCACAAGGCCTGCATCCATCCTGAAGGCCATGCGGACAGGGCAGGACACAGCACCACCAGCTTCCACATGGAATCTCAAACATAGTACATTTCTCAGGTACTGATACTGGTCACCTCTACACGCAACAAATATTTATCAATCACCTACTTTCTGCTTACTCTGTTGGTAGGCACTGGATACAAGGTTAATAATAAGGCAGAGAAAGCCTGCAGTCTAGTGGGGGACAAAAGAGTAAGCAGAAATTTACAATGCAGTGTACACATGTACTTGTTAAGAGTACTGTATACTGTCCTTCCAGTAGGGGTCAGTAAAGGAACAAAGTAAATTTTTCCCAGTAAATTTGTGGATTACAAGAAACTGATCTTAACAATGCAAACCATCAGATGAAAAAATGAAATATGAATATGTATTCCCTTTAAAAAATGTGATAATCATGCCTTGGCCAGTGTGGCTCAGTTGGTTGGGCATCGTCCCATACTCCCAACAGTCGAAGGTTCAATCCCAGGTCAAGGCACATACCCAGGTTTCATCTTTGATCCCCAGGTCAGGGTGCATGCAGGGGCAGCAGATCCATGTTTCACTCTCATATCAGTGTTTCTCTCTCTTTCCCTTCCTCTCTCTCTAAAATCAATGAAAGCATGTCCTCAGGTGAGGATTTTAAAAAATTGTGATAATCACAATGCAAACTGCCAAACAAATACAATCCTGAGTGATCAAGTGCTATCAACCTTGACCACTTCTAACCTGCCTGTCATACAGCAAGGAAAGTCCAAACTGAGACATTGGCAAAATGATTCTCTGCGACACTCAGCCCGGGTACCATCTCCAAGGTGTGCCCTGACCCCCCAGTCCCAACCAGGTGCTCCTTTCTGCCTGGTCTCCCCTCTCCCCTGGTGCTTATCACAATGCCTGGTGTTTGCTGGTTTCCCACAGAGATGGCAGAGTAGGGACCCTGCCCCGTTCACCTCCAGCTGAAGCACTCAGCATGTGGCAATCTTTGCTGAATGAATAAATGGCGGACAGACTCCCATCTGCTTTAGATATCAGAGTGGTGTTTCTCACCACCTTCTCTTCAGTACCGGTACTCCCTAGAAGTGGTGACTCTCAACTGGTGGGGGACAGTCCCTATCCCTCCTGCAAAATCATGCCTCCACCTGAGCTCGGGTGCTGGGCCCACACTGCAGGGCTGCCTTGGTCAGGAGGGAAGGTCCTCAAGCCTTCAACAGTGGGACTCTTACTTCCCTGTAACAGCTTCCACCAGGAAAACTACACCGTGTTAGCAAGTCTGTGCACAGGTTTCGTGAGCACAGACTCGGTCTGCAGTGAACTCGGGATGCACTTCAGTCCACACTCTGCAGGGTGCTCTGCCCAGAAACAGCCTCTCCTCCAGGACCCAGAGGAACATTCGCGCGTGCAACACAGCACGCGGACGACGACTGTCAGCGCTTTACCACTGCAAGAGTCAAGGAGGGCGGGACGACTCAGAGTGCATTCGGCTCAGGCGACGGAACAGGGAACACCGAGGTCCTGCCACCAGGAGGTGGTGGAGCCAGACTGCACCGACCCCAAAGCCACGCCGAAGGTCCAGACTGCACAAGGGTCATCAGGAAGCACACCGCGCAGGCTTGGGAAGTCACAAGTGCCCCTTCGCCTGAGCTTCTGACTCCAAAAACAGAAAACGATTTCATTACTCAGACTAGCAAACAGCTAAAGAAAGCCAGAAGGTCTTTTCTTTCTAGTCTCAATCTGGAGAACATTCTCAATTCTATCTAGAGGACGTGCTTACTTTTATTTATTTTTAAATTATTATTATTATTATTTTTTATCCTCACCTGAGGACATTTTTTGCATTTATCTTCAGATAGAGCGGGAGGAAGAGAGAGAAAAAAACATTGATGTGAGAGAGACACATCAACTGGCTGCCACCCACATGACCCCAAGAGGGGCCAGGGACGAACTGCAACCGAGGTACGTGCCCCTAACGGGAACCGAAACTGGGATAATGCTCTAACTGCTGAGCCAAACCGGCCAGGGCAACATGCTCATTTTTAAAAAAGTAAAACAGAACTGACCTAATCTGTAGTACTACCTCTTCCCATTCATTCATTCCTGGAAATCAAGCCCTCATGTCTTAAAAGCAGAGTCTCCAGTGAAAAACGATCACAAAACAGAGTAGCTATAAGAAGAGATGGAGAGAATGACAACAACAAAAATTTCAATATAACATTCTTGAGTTCAGGTATGTGTGGGCCTCCGTACACTACCTGAGGTATTCTGAACTTTACAAAAGGTAGCCAACATGTGAACGATCAAGAATTCGTAGTCACAGCTCGAGAGCCCACGTGCTCAGTCCTCTCAACAACAGGCGTTGCCACTCTCTGTGAGCCAACCCCTGAGCTGAGCCCTGCTGATGCTAGGCAGGTCAGCCCAGTCATGCAGAGTTTTTTGAAGACTGCTTCTGCTAGTCACTGTTCTATGGTGATAAGGATACATAGTAGCATCGAACAAACCCCATTCCCTGTCCTCCGGGGAGGAGGAGGTGTGGATTTAACCACCAGCAGGGGTAGGAGGCAGGTGTGAGTACATGTACAGGCACATGCATGCACACACACACACACACACACACACACACACTTGTAAACAGGATGGTCAGGGAAGAACACATCACTGAAGAGTGACAACTGGGTAAAGCCCTGAAGAGGAAGCCACGAGCTAAGAGAAGGGTCTGGAAAGCATCCAAGTTCATGAGCGCTGAGGCAGAAGCAGACCTGGAGGCCACCAGGCTGAAGCCAAAAACAGCAAAGGGAAGAACACATGGAGAAGCAAGCCCTGCGAGCAGGGGCTGGGCACAGGCAGGGCCTTTCAGGCCTTACTCCCACGCCATGGAAACTGGAGGTCTGGCCAGAGGAGGGCCGTGCACTGCAGAGAAGTGCCTGCCGGGAAATGCAGGTCTCCGGGCAGCCGCTGAACCAGGCCCAGTCAGAGCAAGGTGGCAGCAGTGGGGGCAGCCGGAAGCCCAGAGAATGTGGACAGACCCTGCAATGGACTGACCGCAGAGAAATGCAAGGGCTCAGGGACGCAGGGTACTGGCTGAGCGGTTCCAAGCACGGGTTCGTTTAAGGAGATGAGGGGCCTCCAGTTTGGATGAGAGGGTCAAACGCTGAGTTTGTAGACGTGAAGTCTGAGAGTCTGACATACAATAGATGCACCAGTTAACCGGAGCTCAGGGATGGCGAGTTTGTGTGCAGATGGTGCCACACAGAGGAAGGACCCCAGGGCCAGAGAGTGACTGTCTCTCCAACGCTACTGAGCTGCCAGTGAGACCGAGTGATCTGTGAGCACGAACTCGTGCAGGGAAGCCCCTGTGCCACGCCTGGTGTCACTCACATTCTCATGCACAGAGATGGCGTTTCCAAGGCCTTGAATGCCATTTTATCTTAAACAAAACGTGCCTTTTAAAGAAGATTTTTTTAAAAATTTCCATCTGGTCACTATGTACTCCTTCACATTTCACCTGGGCCAGGCTGGGTTTCCACTGCATCTCACACACCCCGTCACAAGTCTCTCTCCTCTCCCCGCCCCTGCTGAGCCTGAAGGACTGGGCAGGCTTTCAGCACCCAGCTCCCCGCCCGGGGCCACCCTAAGAACCCAGAGTCACTGAGCTCTGTCTCCTGGTCCCCGCTCCAGTGCACGGAGGGCAGAGACCTCTACCCCACACTCTCCAAGCTGCATTTCTTTTCTTTCTTTTTTAAATCCTCACCCGAGGACACTTTCCCATCTATCTTCAGATAGAGTGGGTGGGAGGGGGGGAGAGGGAGAGAGGGAGAGAGAGATTGGTTGCCTCACACACAACCCGAACTAGGGCCAGGGATGGAACTGAAACCAAGGTATGTGCCCCTGACCGGAATTGAACCAGAGACTTTTTGGTCCGTGAGCCGCTGCTCCAACTGGGCTGATGCTCCAACCACTGAGCCAAACCACCGAGCAGTGAGGATTTCTTTGCCCCTCCTGCAGCAGAACTGCTCGGCTGTGCCTCGGCTCCCTCTCTCTCTCCCTATCACTAGACAACCACTCACTACCAGCAGCTTTCAAATGCTTGACCGTTCCAGACCGCATGGAGATGAAAACCCAGCTGTGACGAGGGCAGTCACACCACCGTCTCTGGTGAAGCAGGCACGTCCATGCGGCCTCTGAAGGGCCAGCACCAGCCCCGGCCCACGCATCACACTCCCCAGGAGCACTGTCAGCGCTGCCGCCACCTCCAGAGCCTGAGCCGGGGACCCCCGTCACATCATGCTCCTCATGACAGACTCCCTCAGAAAGGGACTCGTGGGGACGCGCACGAGCTCTGGAGCCAGCTGTGCCCTTCAGCTCGCATCGGACCCGGGGCAGGCTGCTCTGCCTCGCAGCCTCAATGGCCTCCTCTGTATAGCAGGTGTCACAGTTCACCCCAAGGGGCTGTTCTGAAGGGTAAACGCAGTTACGTGTGAGAGCACTCAGCCATGAACGTGGGTACCTGGGCCTTTGCCCCATTCAGTTACAACCCTCTTCAGGCCGGAGCAGACCGACAGCTGTCCCTCCAGCACAACACTTGCACACAGGACGGCCACCAGCACTTCTAGTGCACACAGAGCAGAACAGGAGCGTGCACAGTGCTTCACACACAGCGGAGCCTGGAAACTGCTTTGTGAAACTGGTTTCAGGCCTTTTGACATGGAGTTTCTGCACACACAGCTGGACACCGCGTCACAACACAAAATTATTTCTTTTTGCCATCAAACAAGTGCTGGCGAGGATGTGGTACACTGTGGTGAGAATGCAGACTGATGTAGCCACTATGGAAAACAGTATGGTGTTTCCTCAAAAAGTTAAAAATGGCCCGGCCAGTGTGGCTCAGTGGTTGACCGTCAACCTGTGCACCAAGAGGTCGCCAGTTCGACTCCTGGTCAGGGCACATGCCCAGGTTCTGTGCCTGATCCCCAGTGGGGGGCAAGCAGGAGGCAGCCAATCGATATTCTCTCTCATAGATGTTTCTGTCTCTCTCTCCCTCTTCCTTCCTCTCTAAAAATCAATGAAGAAAAAATAATGCTTTTTAAATTAAAAACAGAATTGCTGTTTGACCCAGTGATCCCATTTCTTAGAATATATCCTAAGAAGCCTGAAACACCAATCAGAAAGAATACATGAACCCCTATGTTCACAGCAGTGCTATTTACAATAGCTAAGATCTGGAAACAGCCCCAGTGTCCATCAGTAGGTGAGTGGACAAAAAAGCTGTGGTACATGTACACAATGGAGTACTATGCAGCTGTAAGAAAGAAAGATCTCTTACCCTCTGAGACAACATGGAGGGACCTGGAGAGTATTATGTTAAGTGAAATAAGCCAGTAAGAGAAAGACAAATACCAAATGATCTCACATATTTGTGGAATCTAACAAAAAAGTTAAACTGATGAACAAAACAGATCCAGAGACATGAAATTAGAGAACATACTGACAAACCTCAGAGGGAAGGGGAATGGGGGCGGGAATAGATAAACCAAAGAACTGATATGCATATATGCACAACCAATGGACACAGACAACAGTGCAGTGAAGGCAGGGGATGCGGGACAGGGGAGGAGGGTGTCAAGGGGGGAAAAGAGGAGGGACGTCTGTAATACTTTCAACATAAATTTTTACAAAGTTATATCCTGCCCTGGTCGGTTTGGCTCAGCGGTTAGAGCGTCGGCCTGTGGTCCAGAGAGACCTGGGTTCAGTTCCTGCTAAGGGCATGTACCTCAGTTGCAGTTTGGCCCCGGCCCCAGTTGGGGTTGTGTGGGTGGCAGCCCCTCGATGTGTCTCTTTCACATCGATGTTTCTCTCTCTCTCTTCCTCTCTCCTTCCTGCTCTGAAGATAAATGCAAAGATGTCCTCGAGTGAGGATTAAAAAAAAATCATTTCCTTTTACAAGTCAGGGTGAAAAAGTTTGGAAGACACTACTCCAGCACAGTGATTTTTACACCTCAGCTGTAGCCTGAAACCCTAACTTGGGGGAGTGACACAGATAAGGAAGAGCTGAGGGCTCTGGTCCTGTCTGAATCCTCTCCTAATGCTCTCCCCCAGGAATCCGCAAGGTCAGGGTTCGCAGTAAATTAACAGTGTGGGTGCTCCGATGGGGTGCGGAGGAGCAGTCTATGTAGAGCTGGGTGTCCTGGTGTGAAGTCCTTAGTTAAATGAAGGTGCCCCTCAAGGCAGGCACTGCAGCAGCGCAGCCAGACAGGCCAGCCCAGCATCCCCACCAGTGGCCACTTCATGGCCTGATGTGTACTATCCCCAATAACACCAGGACTTGTGGCTTCAGCTACAAGCCTCAACCCTCAAACCTCGTCCCCAGCAAGAACTCAGTGGAGTCAGAACAGTCTCAGGGTTTCGGACAGAGGCATCAAACGCCACAAATCCAAAGGCTTGTGCCCAAGGGTGCAGGTGAGTCCGCTTTACTTAAGGACCGAGCCTCGTTTCAGGTGATATTCAGACTTGACCTAGAAGTAAGCATTTTTCCTCCTGAAGAAGGTAAGCAAAAAAAAGAGATCCACCCTGTTCCCAGAGTTTTAGGCTGACCGTGCAACTTAGTGCTGAGGCCTAAGTGGGCCTTTCTGGTTGAGTGACAGCTGCTTTGCTTCTGCAGAGCCCCTTACGGAAGCCGGGGGCTAGGGGTGGCCACTTACAATGCCCTGTGAGGTTCGTCATGAAGGCTGACAGATGAGGAAACAGGCTCAGAGAGGTAAGTGCCTCACCAATGCCACCAGGCAAGTGACAGGGGAGGCTGTGGCTGAGGCCGGGCTACTGGGTTTAGAACCACCCCCTTCTGTCCACCATGGCCTGAGACACTGCTCACTTTGTTCTGAAAGTCTACTGCCAGCCTTTCACCTGGCCCCCAGACCCGTGCTGTCTGGGGTGATGCTCCACCCTTCCCTTAGACACCCCATTCACCAATGTACGAGGAGCTGCCTGGCCCACTGGTCCACCTAGAACCCTCCGGAACTGCCTGCTGTATGTCTACTTAGGTGTTCAACAAGAGCCTTGGAATCACAGTGCCCAAAACCAAATCCATTGACCACCCTGCCAAACCTGGCCCTGCTGTGTTTCTAAGCTCAGCGGGTGGCACCTGCCAGCCTCTCACCAGCGGGGCACTGGAGAACAGATGGTGGTTCTCAGCTGTCTCTTGCATATCTACCGAACACTCGTGGGCACCACCGCTCTCCTCTCCCCACTCCCCGCTCCCCGCTCACTTTGCAGCCTCAGCTCAAGCCCGGGTCTTTTTCTCTTAATTTTCTCTGCCTCCAGGTTTCCCTGTCTCCCAAGTAACCTAAAACTCACTACTGGATATAATCCATCTTCATCTTCACCCCAATCAAAAGCCTTTAACCACTTCCTGTAACCCCTGAAATCTTGCCCAAGGTTCTTAGTGTGGCATCCAAGATGCACCGGGACCTAGCTGCCCGACCTCTTGCCTGCCACCCTCCACCCTTCACTTTAGGCCCCAACATTGCCAGGGCACCTGCTACAGCCCTGCGCATTCTGGAACACCACATGCTCCCTTTGGGCCTTGACTCGGGCTCATAGGTTACCCCTGTGCACTCTGACCCTTAAGCCTGGGTTCAGGGGTTCTGTCCTTCCCCCCTTGCTTCAGAGAGAGCACTTATCATGCTGTACAGCTGTCCACAGGCACGTGTCCCCCTCTAGACAGGAGCTCCGGACAGGCGAGTTCTGTCTTGCTCAGCACTGATTCTGGATCCCAGCCGAGAGCCCGGCATGGCAGACCTGGTGCTTGGTGACATCTCGTTTAACGATGGATAAATGGCACTCTGAAAGCACCCGGGCCCGAGACCACGCCGCCCCTGAAGGAGTGCGGAAGGACCACTTGGGGTCACAGACAGTACCAAAGAGGAGCTAACAGTGCCAGCGGATGACTGTGGCCGGAGCTCGGAAAACAGTCAGCTGGCATGTGGGGCGGTGGGGCAGGGCAGGGGGCAGCTGAGCCCTGAAGGAAACTGGCCGTGAGAACCATGGAAAAGGGGGTGGGAAATGAGAAAACACTCTGCGAACATAAAAATGCAGACTTACCAATCAATTAGGTAGATGTCTGGAGTTAAGTTGTTTTTCTTGAAATGAGCAAATAATTTCGGCAAATTTTCTTCAAAGAATACCTCAAATGCAGCAAAATAAGTCAGCATCTGGAGAGAGAAGGTGACATACACTAATATACTAATTATCAGCACATGTTTCTAATCTACAAAACAAGTCAATATGGTTACACCATTAGGATCCAGTCATTTTCTCCTCATGTAACTGCGAACAACACATTCTGATGGGGGACTGGTGGCGGGTGCACACGGGCCATTTCTAACACAGGCACACCCCACTTAACTGCACCCACTTCGCTTTACAGATTGGCAGTCGGTGGCAAGCCTGTGCCGAGCAAGTCTATCAGTGCCATTTCCCAGCAGGTTCGGAGGACAGCTAGCGATTTTTAGCAATGAAGTATTCTTTAGTGCAGGTGTGCACACTGCTGTAGACACGTTACTGCACACTTAGCCGACGGCAGCACAGCGAAGGCATCAGTTTAAATGCCCTGGGAAACCAGAATTCTTCGACTCGCCTGGTTGAGGTGCCGCTTTACTGCGGGGGTCGGGAACTAAGCCGCCATAGCTCCAAGTGCGCCTGTAAACATACTCACTGCTCTTCACAGTAACACCACTAGCTACACCTTGTTATTCCTTCAGTTCACAGGTAAGAAACTGAAACCCAGAGAAGTTACATAACTTGCCAATAAGGTCACATCAGCGTGTGGCTGGGATCTGACCCGTGTCTGTCCTGAGGAGGACAGCTCATCTCTCTCCTAGGAACCAGGAGGGAGTTAACTGGCTGGAAGGACCTGCTAGACGGCACGCCTCACACCCAGCCCCGGCACTCCCAGCGGAACGGACGCTGCTACCCCTGCTCCGGCTTCAGAGCGCTGTGTGGAAGGCAACACTCCAGGAGGAGCTAGCCGGCCTAGCCTGTGTTTTACCAGCACAGCTCTGCAAATGCTTACGGGGTCTGCAGGACACCCAAATGCACAGGGCGGGAGCGGTGGGAAAGAGCAGCTGCAGCTGGTGTAAAGCGCATGGAGTGAGAGGCGGAGGCCAGCTCTGCCCCACGCGCACTAGCTGAATGCTCATGGGCTGGTGGCAGCCCTCGGGCGCTGCCTGCTCGTCTTGATGAGTGGTCCTGCTGCTACCAGAGGGTCCCAACAGGGACTCTGCCTCCCAGGGGACCTTTGGCAATGTCTGAGGACATTTTTGGATGTCACAGCTCGGGGGGGAAGTGCTATTGGCATCTATCGAGTAGAGGCCAGAGGACAGCCCCCACCACAGCCATCCGGCCCCAGATGTCAACACTGCGACTACTAAGAGACCCTGCTATAAACGAAGGTCCCATGCAATGTTACAAATCTATGATTTTTCCATAATAATTAGGCTAAAATTATTAAGAATAGTTTTTATCATATGTTGTCAGAGAAGCTGGGGTCTTATCTCCAAAATTAGGAGATATTTAGATATAAATCATTTTATGATATATGAACATTTTCCCCTGACTATTAAAGTAGTATCCGTAAATCACTGTAGAAAACTTAGGTACAGAAACAGATGAAGATCCTCCATAAACACCATTAATGCCATGGCGTGCTTCTTTTAGTTAAATATGGGAACCATTACAGTCTATATTCTATTGTACATGCTTTTGAAAAAATTAGCATTTTATCTTAAATACTTTTCTATAGAACAATTCTTTGCAAATATGGCTATTGCACTGAATCTATTACCAGATTTTAATGAACCATTCTGTATTCCCCTAAGCCCCATTTTTAACGGTTTTCACTTTCACACTGAAATATGAATTTAAATTATTAAAGAATTATAAATACTTGTGTGACAACCATCTTTGTGCATGTATAATACTTTGTTCACACTTTGACTTTCTTAGAGTCTTACAAGCAGAATTACATACCAGCACCATTCACCGCTGACACTTAATACCAAATTTCTTCCAAAAGTATTCGACCAATTTATACTTCCCCTAACAGCCACCCACTTAGCAGCAGTTTTAAAATACTTGTTTTAAAAAATGTATGTACTGCCTGAGCAAGAAATGATCAGGAGTCCTTAAGACCTTAGAGAAGACTAGCCCCAGCTGGAAGTACTGGTGACAGTTATCAGCCAGCAGTCAGCAAATCAACAAAATGCTAACTTAAAAGCAGATGGATTTGTTAAGCTAGCGTCCACCCTCTGGCCTACAGAAAGAACAGGGGCTTAGGAAGCAGAATGGGTGGACCTTGGCTCTTCCCCTTACCCGCTGTGTGTCCTGACTACAGACAGGTCACATCCCCTCTGAGCCTCACCTCCCCAGACTACACACAGGTCACATCCCCTCTGAGCCTCACCTCCCCATCTGGGCCAAGCAGAGGACCCACCTCCGGCAGCATGTTCGGGGCCTCCCTGGGCAACCAAATGTTAGCACAAAGCTGGAACTGAATAAATGAAACCCTCCATTTATCCAGTGCCCACGGGAGTGTACTGAGCACACGGCTGCCTTCGTCCAAAAGGAGCTGCCCTGAAACGTGTCTGTCCCATGGACGAGCACCCTGCAGGAAGCAGGGTCCCAACGTGACGGTGAGCAGCAGGCTAGCTCCACTGCGCCAGGTTCTAGGCGCAGACCCCAGCATGGAGACTGCTCTCCACACAAAGTGTGTGTGTGTGTGTGTGTGTGTGTGTACACGTGTGCATGCGTGTGCGCGCGTGCAGGAGCCACCCCCACCCCATGGGGAGAATATACTTTCAGAATGCTTTCTGAAAAACTGTATTCAGAAATTCATACATATAGCTTTTAACCATGTGTTTTCAGTTAAAATTCAATACAATGCCCAAAATGCCCTCCACCTCTACAGTGCTACTTGTTCTAAACCCCTCTTAGTAGAGGGAAAATGTATCCTTTTGCACTGAAAAGACAGGCTGATTGGGCAATTCTTGCTGTGTGAAGACACCATACCAGGGATACTCACAAGGCCATGGTCCACTCGGAAAAATGCCATTTGACAGGGTTTATTCAAAAGATTAGAAAAAGCAATGAAGGCATCTGCAGTATCTAAGTTCAAGATCAACACTGCGGCTATAAAGGACATGCCCTGAACCTGAAGGAAGGAGAGAAGAGGTGTTAAACTCACAGCAGCCTACACGGCAGAACAGCTCTTTCATTTCACGATGAGGAACCAAAATGCCCTCATGTTAAAAGCCCCCCAAAGCTGAGCTGAAAGGCTCGATCCTGACCTGCTCTTACCAGGAGGCACTGCTCTGCCACATCAGCTGCCTTGTCTGTTCCCCCCAAGTCCACATGGAACACCACATTGACTGCCCCCCATGCATCTGCCACCTGAGACACTGTCCTCAGAACGCAGCTGCCTGGTGCCACAAAGATGTGCGTCTAACAGCATGGTGCGCCGGGACCCACGCGCGCACATCTGCTAAGCCGCAGAGATGTGCGTCTAACAGCTGGTGCGCCGGGACCCACGCGCGCACATCTGCTAAGCCGCAGAGATGTGCGTCTAACAGCTGGTGCGCCGGGACCCGCGCGCGCACATCTGCTAAGCCGCAGAGATGTGCGTCTAACAGCTGGTGCGCCGGGACCCACGCGCGCACATCTGCTAAGCCGCAGAGATGTGCGTCTAACAGCTGGTGCGCCGGGACCCGCGCGCGCACATCTGCTAAGCCGCAGAGATGTGCGTCTAACAGCGTGGTGCGCCGGGACCCGCGCGCGCACATCTGCTAAGCCGCAGAGATGTGCGTCTAACAGCGTGGTGCACCGGGACCCACGCACGCACATCTGCTAAGCCACAGACAGCAGCGGCACAGTTTTAAAATGGTTACTGCTAAAGGCTTTTCTTCATTTACTGGTGAAAAAAATCACATGCAAAAAACAAAAATCAAATCAAACTGCAATGTGATGAGTGCCATGAGCAGCTGTGTCCGCTCAGTTTCTTTACAAGGAAACAGGAACTCACTGCCCGTGAGGCTTCTCATACTCAGCAAAAATGAAGCATTCATGACCTGACATCTGCAGCTAAGACGTTCTGGGCAATATTCTGACTTTCTTTTTAAAATGTATAAACATTATAAAATATTGAAAAGTTCACTTACATAGCCCACATCCGGTCGGTAACAAGTATAAGCGCCCAAAATACTGTGCAACATGTCATGATACGGGCCACCCTGGAAGGATGAACACAGCAAAAGGACACATGCAGAAGTCTTGTTAGTGCTCAGGACAACCTCTGTGCCGCCACCGCCGCCATCACCCGCTGTGTGCGGAGGAGCTAGGTGCCAAGCACATGCCAGCAGCTCTATGTGTATTACGTAACTTAAACGAACTACCGATCCAGCTGGCAAGCACGTCTGCAGCCAACCTACCAAGCTGCTCAGAGAAAGCTGGTGGGTCTAAGCACCTCACCAGAAAATGCCCTTCATTTGGCTCCTGCTGTATAACTGTATTCCCCTGCAGAGTTCTCCAAAGCAGGGCAGTGCTAACTGTTGTCCTGACTCTGTCTTCCAGTTGTGCCCCCACCCTGACGATCACTGCCTTTATTTCTTCTGCTTTTTGATATGACAGGTTCAAGAAATGCCCTCTAAATCTAAGTCCTAACAGCCTCCATTTTATTCCAAACATCCTCCCAACTCTCCCATCCCTCCAAGATTCCCTTTTGTTCCTGTAACTCATTCTAAACATTTAGGTGTTACGGTTCTCCTGCTGAGCACAGAAGGAAGCGGGTGCCTCACACTGATGGCAGCGTGTCTGAGCACAGGGTAAAAGGGCTGGCTCAGTCCAGATCAAATACGCTGTGCACACCTTCCGTGTGCCTAGTTAACACAAGGATAAAGAGTGCACGCTGACTCACCAGGAAGTACAGCTGGCTGCATGTGGCTTACAAAAGGGCGCCATGGCCCAAGCCATCCCAGTCCGACATAAAGACAGACACTTCCAGAACAGAGGGGCAAAGAAGAAAATAGCAATTGGAGAGTAAAGAGGACGACATCCAGGACTGGGGGGGGGGGGGCCCTCAGTGGCAGCGCCAAATGCCCACCTGAGGACTGGTGGCCTCCCCAGCTGTCACCAGGTTATATCCACCCCAAGGCCAAATGCACAGCGTGTCAGCAACCTCAGGACCGTCCTGGTGCCGACTGCCCTTCCACTCTTCCTCCAGAGCAGAGAGGAGCCAGTAGTAAGGAGAGTCCAGGGAACTGAACTGCATCGTCTCTGTTCATCCCTCTGGCAAGCTTCTCCCAATGGAACTGGGGATTCCCTGACCCATCAGTGGTTTGATGCTTCCATTCTCGTCCTTCTGCCTGGAATGTCTTCCATACTCAGGCAGACTGTCATTCAAACTTAGCCCGAGCACAGCCTAAGAGCTGCTTCCCCAGGGACACTACTCCTGCCCCCTCCCACACTGTACCACCAGGACAGTGAACCTTCACTTGGTGCTGTCAGAGTGCCTGGAACACACTCACATTTTGCAAAGCCCAAGTGTCCAACCTCTCATGTCCTGCCTCATTCTAAGCGGCCAGCCACTTAACTGAGCTGCTCTAATTTATTCCACCACCCTCTCCTGGCTTCCTAGGGCTAGGAGGTCTGGTGCTAGAAACATGGGCACGACAGAGTCAGCCTGGGCACGCCAAGGTTATGGTGGAGGCCATGAGGTCATTGGACAGAGGTGGAGGAGGTCAGGAGAGATGTGTAGAAGCCAGGAGCAGTGATCCACAAAAGATGAGAATCCGTACTAAATAAATGCAGTGAGAACAGAGAAGGGACAGACTCAGAGATATTTTGGAGGCAGAGCTGGCAAAAACCATCATACATTAATTGGATAAGTTGGGGGGGGGGGTCAAACAAGACCCCCAGGTTAATGTCTGCTGGCCGAAGGTCTTCAGACACCTCTGCCCTGATGACTCCAAAACCTGCTACTGGCAGCCCTGTGCCCTGTACTGAACTCAGAGGCCCAGGGGAAATGCCACTTTTCTCTGTACTGCCACCCAAAAGAGACCATTCCATCCTGTCTCCATGGCTGGACTCAGTGCCCAGTGGTGTCCCAGCTGGTCCACCTGCTCAGAAACCCCACCCCAATGACTCTCAAGGCTGCCAAGGATCTCCCTTTCTTCCAGGCTGGGGCACACGGCAGGGCGTAGTCTTGACAACAGAAGCAGCCCCTAGGGATGCACCGAGAGATGGGGCCGCACATGGCCTTCTCGGCCCTCCAGAGGGCTCTGACACACACTTGGAAAGGACAGAGCTGCCCTCAGAGGCATAGCTGCGGCCACGTTGAATACTTGTCGGGAAGATCAGTTACTCTTATTTTCTAAAGTCTAAATGCACTGATATTAGACGCTCCCTCCCCTTGCTGCCCCTCACCTGAAAAACCCAAGAACTTTTCAAACTTGATTACAATGTAGGCAGTTTGACATCTGTGCATTTTAGACAAACATGCTTGAAAGCAACACATCACCACCACCTACCTGCTGGAAAATGCAGAGGTTAGGGAATGTTCTAGAAATGTCCAGTTTAATAAGCTCCAGACTGGCTTCTCTGTCTGCTGCTGAAAACCCGGCATCTACCAAAAGACCAAGAGTCAGGACACCTGTCAGAGGCAGCATGCGGGGTCATCCAAAGGCGCTGAGTTTCCCAGGAGTGAAACAAGAAGTCCAGATGCACACAGACCTATTACAACTCAAACAAGCAGTTGGTAGAGTTTCCCACTTTAGGAGTGAATCCACACAGCACTGTCTACCGCTAGACCGTCGTCAGGTGCTTTCTGGACCCTGAGAGAAGCCCCCTGGCTGGCACCCTGTGTCGACAGTCGTGGAAGCAGTGCGAGCAGGCGAGGGGACACACTGACTGCGGGCGGAGAACGAGAGTCAGTATTCGGTCTAACTCAGCAACGGTGTGAACCTAGAATGTGCGCGAGGTGTGGCATTCGTGTACGATTGCTAACAAGTGTTCATGAATAACTTGGTTTCTATATTTTTTAATTTTAATATCACCCAGATAGTATAAAAAAGGATCAGTAAAAAAGATCCCACTTAACCCACAGAAGTGTCCTTCTTGTGTGTTAGGGTGATTCTAAAGCGTAACGTAGCGAACACGCGTGGCCCGTGTCTTCGGAAGCCACTCCAATGTTCCTCCAGAGGCCAGGCCGCTGCGGCTCGTGCGTGGGGATGACAGAATCGACAGTGATTCCGACCAGCTCTCAGTGTGTACCGACACAAACACCTCGAAGGACCTGGTATGTTCTCTTTCTTATGGAGGTTTCTTCTTCACTTTGTTTGCTCTAAAAAATCCGTTTTCCAGCCCTGGCCAGGTGGCGCAGTTGGTTGGAGCATTATCCTGTACACTAAAAGGGTTGTGAGTTCAATCCCTGGCCAGGGCACATACTGGAGGCAACCAATCAATGTTTCTCTCTCTCTCAAAATCAATGAAAATAGATGCTCAGGTGAGGGTTAAAAACGCAAACCCTTTTCCATGAAGCTTTTTGTCAATTCGCACCAAACGCTGCCTCGCGTACGCACCCTTCCTGCCAGCGGGGACAAAGCAGCCCGCCAGCCCGGCGCCGGCTTACCTTCATTCTCCGCTTCGGAGCCGCCCGTGCTGAAGGACCGCCACCGCTCCTTGGCCCGGCCGAGACAGATGTGGAAGAGCTCTGGAAGAAAAGCCCCTGGCTGAGCGCCGAGTGCACGCGTGGCACATCTCCTCCAAGGGCCAGGGAGCCCACTACGGCATCGTCAGCCATTAGGGTTCAACTACAGACTGCACGCTTGTTAAGGCTGCTTCACCCCCGGCGTGGCCTGAGGTCCTTCTACTGTCTAGAGACATGTACAAAGACAGAACCACAGAACGCCACCGTGCCTGGTATTTACTTGCCGCATGCCCACCCGGAAACACTTGTGTTTGGTTTGTGAGTCCATCCCTTCTACAGAGCATGAGCTCCTTGGGGTGAGCCTGAGAGGGCCCCACCTTCACGTTGCATCTGGAGCGAACGAACCAACGCAGTCAATGTCTGTCTGACCGACGAGGGGAGGGAGAGGCCAGCAGGAACCTGCCGGATTCCCTTGCCCCAGAGCATCAGGCAGGGGTACAAATAAAATGGGCAACGGTTTTGAATAAAAGAGGGACTCTGTGCAGAGAAGTATCAAGATAGCTCTGCTAGCCCTGGCCAGTTTGCCTCCGTGGTTGGAGCACCGGCCCAAGAACCGAAGGGTCATGGGTTCGATTCACCTCAAGAGCAGGATCTCTGGCCCTGGTGGGGGTCGTGCTGGAGGCAACCAATCGATGTGTCTCTCTCACAATGTTCCTTTCTCCCTTTCTCTTTCTCTCTCCCTCGCTCTCTCTCTCTTTTTCTCCCTCCCTCCCTTCCATTCTATCTAAAAATCAATGGAAAAATATCCTTAGGTGAGGATCAACAATAACAACAATAAAAAGATAGTTTTCACAAATCTCCAAATTGCCTCTGTATTTTTTTTGCATTTTATTTTAATTTATTATAATTCCTTATAAAGTTAAAACAGAGGCAGACCCTTCTAAATAAAGGTCCATTCCACTGAAAATCAAATCATCTAAAATATTTAAAAATTTAAGATAACAGGATCCTCAGACAGCATCCCAGCTTCCAGCATGCAATCCCCCTGCAATCACAGCTATAGGGGTTATAGCAGCTTCTGAATTCTCAGGTGGAGAAAGATGAGCCAAGTGATTTCTTAAAGTAGCAAAACGAATCACTGCTCTTAACTTTCTGGTTAATTGTCTCTTCAATGTATAACTTTGCTATGTTTAGTCTTTTGAAGGGGCCACCTTGTTTATTTGCATCATTTCCTATGCTTATTCTTATAGGAGCCAGATGTCTGATTGTTCTCCAGAGCAAGTCCAAATCAGCGAAAAAAGGAGGTGCAGCCCTCCAAACACCAGAAAAACCTTCATCTGGCCAGATCCCATGGCCATATCCATTCAGGAACCCTTGCCTCTGTATTTAAGACTTATTTTCTCAATAATTCTTCTCTTTGGGTAATTTTGTAACAATAGTGAAATGATAATTCATGCTCACACATTTTACTATGGCACACAGACTCCCCTGGCTATCTCCACGGCCCATTCTCCTTGGGAGCAAGAACTTCACGTGAAGAAGGAGCCCACAGAGACTGCCAGGCCCAGCTGGCCCCCGCCCCAGTCCCGGGCACTTCGGCTCCGCTGCTCCCCAGTCACTGATATCCTGCATCATTAACAACCGCTAAGACTTGAACCGCAGCTACCCAGAGAATTCTTACCACTTTATTTTCTCATCGCTGCTTTTGGGAAAGGCAGCCGAGCGCACCTGCCTTCCAGGCAGTGCATGTTATTTCACTAAAATATAGGTCAAATTCTTTTGTGCTCCAACAAGTGAAATTTGATTACTGACCTTCCTCGAACCTTGTGAAGGACCTGACTTACAATCTACACTAGTGTGTCAGAAGAGGGTACAACCACGAAACACAACTTCACAGTATCACCATCACACAGAAGACAACACACACTTCTTAAGTCAAGACGCTTACAAGTGTTGAGCTGGAGGCTAGAGGGTCCAGGGAGCCTCCGCCTTGATCATTTCAGTAGGTGATGAAGAAAAACAACTGTGTGGCCAGCCCCTGACCCTTGGCAACCTCTTCCCAGATGCAGTGTTGGACGGCTAGAGCACAGATAATGTCGGCGTGAGATGCATCAAAGCGTCCGAGTTCTGAAATGTCTCCAGGCTTGACTGGTGTGTGTGTTTGCAGGGCAAGGTGGGGATATGTTAGAACAGCAAACGCCTTACTCCCAGACCCATTTCCAAAGTACAAGGCTGACTTTCCTAAAAGTGAAAATTTAATAGTACTATTAGGGTGACTTTCAGTAAGTTTCCAATTGCAGAACCACAAAAAGAACAACACTCTGGGGCTTCCCACATCAGACCACGGGCTCCAGAGTGGGGGGCCCGCACTAGGAACCTGGCTCCTCCACACACCAGCCATGAGGCTGGGGCATCCCTAACCTTTTTTTCAAGATGCTCACCTTTCCCAATAGGAAAACAAGACCTAATACCCACTGTGGATGTTAAACAAGACATGTAAGTAACAAGCTGACACGATGCCTGCCCTCAGCAGCTGGACTTCACAATCCTCGGTTCTTATGCTTACACAGAGAGTGAAGCTGAGATCAAGTAGGGCCCAATAAAGCGGCATCCATCCACTCATCCGCTCGTTCACCAAATTCTTCTTGAGGGCCTGCTGTGTGCAGAGAGCAGCGCTGGGCGTGGTGACACAGTGGAGAGCATGACAGGCGGGGTTCCAGGTTCTCAAGCATCAACAATAGTGGAGGCAACTGACATTTGGCAGCTAATCAAAGATGCAACTTAAATGCAATGAGCCAGTATCCCAATTTAGACAAACTTCTAAGACATGGAATTAGTTAATTAGCTGTTTAGCCCAATCTATGATATGGTCCATAAAAGATTTTAATTTAAGTAAAACCAACCCAGGTCTGGCCAGTGTGGCTCAGTGGTCGGGCGTCGACCCATGTACCAAAAGGTCGCTGGTTCCATTCCCAGTCAGGGCACATGCCCAGGGTGTGGGCTGGATCCCCAGTGTGGGCATGGCGGAGGTGGCCAATCGATGTTCTCTCACATCGATGTTTCTATCTCTTTTTCCCTCTTACTTCCTCTCTCTCTCAAATCAATAAAGGAAAAAGATTTTTTAAAATAAAAATAAAACCAACCCAGGCATCAGTGAGGACCAAAACTAAGCACCCACATGCACACACACCACTCTGAACCACAATCAACTGGCTTAGTTAGAACTGCTGATAGTCTGGAAAACTTTCAGAACAAGGGCTAAAATGACCGCTCAGCAGTTCTCTAACTCTCTGCTTCTGGGAATGCTTTTAGAAACTATGTATTTCACCTTGGCCAGTTTGGCTCAGCGCTTAGAGCGTCAGCCTGCAGGCTGGAGAGTCCCGGGTTCAGTTCCCACTAAGGGCATGTACCTCGGATGCAGTTTGTCCCTGGCCCTGGTTGGGGTCGTGTGGGTGGCAGTCACTTGGTGTGTCTCTCTCACATCTATGTTTCTCTCTGTCTCTTCCCCGACCTCTCTCCCTCCCACTCTAACTGAAGATAAATGCAAAAATGTTCTCAGGTGAGGATAAAAAAATAAAAAATAAAAACGATGTATTTCTACAATTAAATGTTATACTTCTCACATAAAGATGCCCAATTTGTGGCAGGTATGGATTAGCCAAATGGAGCTTTGAGGAAGTCACGTGTAACTAAGCCAGCATGACCCACCCAAGCAGCTGGCGTTACCCAGGATGGAGAACAGCCTGGCCAGGCTGCACCCATGGGGTGGATGGCGTCTCACAAGATAAGAACAATAGCAATATGGACCCCGAGTACACAGAGAAGACACAAATCAACCTGCTCCAAGCTCAAGGGTCTTCAGTGGCGACTATCAACTCCACAAGCATTTACTGGGTACCAATAACATAAAGAAGAAGAGGAAGGAGCTCCTGTCCCTGTAGACAGGGAGAAAAAGTAAAATGTAACAACTACCAAGTATCAAGCACTTGACTGCAGGTCTGTGAGCTCCTGGCCTGATCTCCTGGGCCCACAGTGCCGGGCAAGCGGTAGAGTGAGTGCAGGGAAGCAGGTGGAGGCGGGGAGACATGCACAGGCTGCATGAATGTGTACGCCAAGACAGACAGACAGCCCTCGGAAAAGCGAGTCCGGATGTCACCTCCTCATCTACACAGAAGCTACTAGGGCCTCGAGCACCCAGTCAAGTGCAGTATGTTGTCCCCTCGACAGGTGCTCAAATATAAGCTGCCTGGAAGAAATGCCACAAACAACAACAGTGCCCGAACACGAGCCGCACCTCCCAGAAGGAACCGCCGCCCTGCCACCTGGCCTCCCGGTCGGGCTTGCTCCCTACAGAGCGCTGAGAAGAGGTCCTAACGTGACCCACCCACCGGCGCTGCGACATGACGACATGACCGTGGACCCACATGTGCTCCCTCGGCTCTTCAGGGAAGACGACAGGCGTCAGGAAGAGGGCAGGAGACTTCTCCCAACTGCCAGGTAACTGAAGTCTCTCTCTCCTGGAGGACAGTCACCTAGCCTCTCAAAAGACACAGCTAGCTTGCCCTGGCCGGTTTGGCTCAGCGGTTAGAGCGTCCGCCTGTGGTCCGGAGAGACCCGGGTTCGGTTCCCGAAAGGGGCATGTACCTCGGTTGCAGTTTGTCCCCGGCCCTGGTTGGTCGTGCGGGTGGCAGCCACTCGATGTGTCCCTTTCACTTCGATGTTTCCCTCTCTCTCTCTCTTCCTTTCTCTCCCTCCCACTCTGTCTGTACAAAAAATGGAAAAATGTCCTCGGATGAGGATTAAAAAAAAAAAAAAAAAAAAAGACACAGCTAGCTTCACAGCAGTGGTATCCTATCTTCCTAACAGCAGGGCAGACGGGACAAGGGAAGGCACAGGACTGGGAGCAGGGAGTCCCCAAGCCTAACATCAGGCAAACACTCACCGTGGGTGATGTTTAACTCGTTGCCAATGGCTAAGCTCCAGACTTTGCCTCTCACACTGGGAGGGATCCCCTGCCACCATAAGTCTCGAACTTTTCTAGAGCACCACCTGGACAGAAAGGAAGCATGAGTTTATGAGTTTGTTCTCAATGAAGAAGTATCTGTCCACCTGTGCACCTAGCCCCAAACCGGATACACAGGGGTATGAGACACGGCTTACAGTCCAGTATTCCACAGAGACCAGGAGATCGACAACACTCTCCACTGGGCAACTACTGTGACAGGTACGCCCAGGGCTCTGCAGGAACAGGGAGCTGCACCACAAACCAGAGGGGCTCGGAGCACTATTCTGGAGCCGAATCTTCAGTAAATGGCAGCAGTTTAAGCAGAGAAAGGGTGGGAGTAGAAAGCGCAGTGACAAGAACTGACCATGCTGCTGCAGGACCCGCTAACCGCTGGGTCGGGATGGGCAGAGGACTGCTGTGCGGCTGCAGGTGCAGGGCAGGCGGCACGCAGGGGACAACTGCCCAACTCCCATGGCAGAGGAGAACTCTGCTAACTCAGAACACTCTCAAGGGCTTGGAGTCGTTGAGGTCTGCTGCTCATAATGACTCAGTCAACAGACTGGGATGAAGGTGCCAGATTCCCCTGCTGCTCCTCAACACAGCCCAGTGGGGAGAGCATGGGCCGAGGCTACAAAACAGCTCTGCACCCTGAGTCCATGATTCCCTGTGGAACCCCGAGCAAATAACTTCTCCTCTCCAGCGTCAAATGATGAAAGCCTCCCTCGAAGGACTGTCCTGGAGATCATGACAGTCATGGAGATAACGCACAATGACACCTGGCCCTGTGCCTGGCACCTAGTGAGTGTGGGCACCAGGACCACATCAAACACCGTCACTGCAGGATGGACCAGGGGTAGGTCCTCCAGCCACACATGGAGACAGCCCAAGGGTTCTGAGGACTTCAACTATTGTCACTGCGTCCCATTTGAGAAACGTATTTCCTGACCATGCCCACCCTTTCACGACACCGCCTAGAGAAGCAGCTCTGGGAAAGGCCTGTTTTCCTAGTGAACGTCTTCAGCAGGGCTGCTGACCCCTGTAATGAGATGCAGTAACACTCAGTAAGTGCCAGGAGTGAGTCGCCCTCATCCTGACGTATGGTTCAGGCTGAAAGCAAGAAGAATAGAAGAAAAACTGGCATCCAAGTTTCCTGGCAGCTCTTGCTGATGAGGGGAGGCCCAAAAGGTGCCATGAGCTTCTCTCTGGGCCTGGACTGTGTCCACATACTGCCCCTAACCATCCTGAACCACAGGAAGAAATACAGAGTGGATATAAAGATGACAGCAGCTCCCAGACTCTGCTGGATATTGGCCCATGGGGCTGGCATCTGAGAAAACCCAGTCCATACCCTCACAGGGGGGACGACATAAGTGTTGTATCCAGGGGACTCGTCTACAGCTGCCTGGGCAGGAAAGTCTCCCCATGGAACACTGAGCTTTGAAGAACAAAGAGCTGGAGGACTTACAAGGCAAGAGCGCTCTAGGTAGAGACACTGGAACATGCAAAGGCCCTGAGGCTTCCTAATGACAGGGCTCCATCCAAGTGAGGGAGAGATCAAAGGCGAGGCTACAGAGAAAGGGAGGAGTTCAAAGTCACTGAAATTTTAAGTGGGGAAACGACAGACTTGGGCTTGAGAGATCCTCTGGCTGCTTAGAAGAGTTGGAAGGAGGGCAGGGAACTGTCCCAGGATCCAGGCAAGGAACAACTAGGCTCGAGCCAAGGCGGGGGAAGGGAGATGCTATGTAACTTGCCCTAGGTTATGTCATCAAAGGTACAATGTGACTGTCAATTAGTACCGCTGCTGCCTAGACGACAGACAGAAACGGTTTAGTCTAGCAGAGCCCACTCTGTCACAGCTTACATGGTTTCCCAGTTAGGCAAAATCTCATTATTCCAAGTAAGGACAGCATTTCCAATGCTCTCTTCTAATCTGCATCTTTCTTCCAGCTGCTTTTTCCTCCGCTGGGCTTCTTTCAGCTCTAGACAGCACAATCAAAAACAAAAATAGAACACCCGTTAGCTAGTACGCACTGTTTCCAAGCCAGGTGATTCTGTCAGAGGCACACAGCAAAATCCTCCAGAATGGCACTGGAGGGGGGCGGTGAGACCTGCCCCTCCCAGGATGAGCTTCTTCCGTGTGGGACTCGAATGCTCAGGCGTTATCCACCTTTTAGTGAGCGTTTAAAGTGTAACAGACATACAGAAAAGTATTTTAAAAAGCCAGATCAATTATCACAAAATAAACAAATCCATGAAACTATCACCTCAATCCAAAGACAGAACATTCGCCCTGGCCAGTGTGGTCAGTGGTTAGAGCATCAGCCCGCGCACCAAAGGGTTGCAGGTTCAAATCCAGTCAAGGGCATATATTTGGGTTGCAGTTTTGATCCCCACCAGGTCAGGGCGCATTTGGGAGGCAATCAATTGGTGTGTCTCTCTCTCATCGATGTTTCTCTCACACTCTCTCTCTCTCTCCCCCCATCCCTCCCACCCTTCCATTCTAAAAATCAATGGAAAAAATTTCCTCAGGTGAGGATTAACAAACAAATAAAAAGATAGGACATTACCAGATACCAGAACTGCCTCCCACATCCCCCACCCCGTCCCCTTCCCAGTATTTCTCACAGCCTGAGCATAACGCTCAGTGTATAATAGCAACTCTGAGAAACACTATGCATTTAACTTACATACACTTTTCTGTATTTTTTATTATAGTAATAAAATACAAAAAAACATAAAATTTACCATTTTAACCATTTTAAATATACAATTAGTGGCATAAAGCACATTCACACTGTTAATGAAACCATCACCAAGTCACCTCCAGAATGTTCTCATCTTCCCAAACTGAAACTCTGCACCAATGAAACTCTACCTGCCCATCCCCTCTCCCCTACTGCCTAGCAACCACCATTCTATCCTCTGTCTCCATCGTTCTGACTACTCTAGGACCCCACATAAGTGAAGTCACACAGTGTCTTCCTGCCAGTCCTATTTCACTGAGCACGGCATCCTCGAGGCTCACCCATGCTGAGGCACGCTCCAGAATTTCCTTCATGTGTGCACAGACCACATTATGTTGATCACACATACATTCTAAACACCCAGAATCACAGAATGCTGCAGGGGACTTTATCCAACCCCAGCACATCTTGTAAATAAGGAAAACCAAGCCGAGTGAGAGAGGTGCCCATCACCACTGAGGGGTTCTCAGTCCAGTACTCTTACCCAGATGACCTCTTTCGTGCTATCAATTCCAAGTGGTATCACCTTGAGTAAAGCTACCAGGAATGACACAAGTAGAAGAACACATTTTTGATGGAAAATTTTAAACTTCAAAACACGAAAGCCTTCAGCACAGCTCAGGCTCTAGGGCTCCAGACGGGAAGAAGAAAGTGTCCAGACAGAAAGTCCTGCTGCGTGAGCAAGCAGTGGGCGGGGCTCCATTACCTCGCTTTTTGGCCTGAACCACCATTTCTTCATACTGCTGCCTGTGTTTCTGAGCTTCTTCAGCTGGCTTCGCCGGGAGATTTCTTGATAGAAAAATAAATGATTTTTCACCATTATAAATATCAAATAAAATTCTCTGAGAAACAAAACTCGAAGCTTTATTAAAAAAACAACAACAAAAAAAAAACCCCGAAAAGCTCAAAGACCAAAAACTAAATACGTTAAAATGACAAAGACACAGCTCTTCCATAAATTAAAAATATTTTCTTCCAAAAATAAATAAGCTCATTTTAAACTATTTGAAGTAAAAGGATTCACAGAAAAAAGAAAATAACAATTACCCATAATTCCAAGAGACAAACACTTAATCTTTTGGTGTTTTTTTCACCCCCGTCTCCAAAGAAACTTTGTGATTTGACCACAATCCACTAGTAACTGTTGACGACTGTCCATGAATAAGGGACCCTAGCGGCATATAGTACGGACACGTGTGAACATTTCCTGGCCAGTCTGTGAGCATGGACAGTTTCACATTCCCCACGTGGCTCGTCGGCTTGGTTTCTATAACACAAATGCTCACCACAGTCCTAAGCATCTGAATGTGGTGTGCAAGTACGAATCCAGTTTAAACAAATAAACTGCAGGCTCTTCCAGAAATGTGCAGCCCGTCAAACAGACGGACACCAGAGAATGGACATGCTAAGATCACCTGCTCCTGCAGGTCCCAAATAAGCAGTTCTAGTCCAGGCAAAGTTCTGCAACACTGGGATGCCTCCAAAACACCCATTTGCAAGCACACTCCAATGTCTTCTTGCAGTTACGAGCCAGTCTATGATTTATAATAGCTATGTAAAGTATTTTAAAATGCTGAGTTAAAATGAAAAGTCACCTGAATAGAAAATCGGGGCAAAACTCCTGTGTTCAAGGACGGTTTTCCAAATGAGTCATTTACTGCCACTAGAGCACGTTAATTAAAATAAGGAATAGAGAGGAACTCGGCACTTTTAACAAGTGCTATGGCTCACTCTTCTTCCCTCTGTGTCCCTGCTTCCTTTTTAATGAAAAGGTGATTAATTAGCAGGTTGTACTTAACCACTAAAGCAAACACCCTACAGACTCTTCCCAGGACTCACGCTGGTCTGTCTTCCAGGATGAGCGCAGTGGTGGAAAGCGGCTCAAAATCGAGATTCTTCCTCACATTCTGCTGTGGGGAGGGTGGCTTGCTAGGCCGTCCAGCCCTGTCTTCATATTCCTAGGACAAAGAAACCAGGGTTAGCTCCAGGCCTGGCCAACTCCGATATGAAGAAGCCCTTCTGAAAGCGAGCAGGTTTCTGTTGTGCAGTCCTTTAAGCAGATTTCGAGTATGATGTACTAACAATATTTCTTGCTATTCAGAAGGAAAAACTGCCAAGGAAAAGGGGTCCGACAGCTCTGCAGTCCAGGCCGTCGCCTTATGACATGAGGACAGTGGACTTCCCATATTGGTGGGAAAGTCACCCAGGACCTCATCACCCCAGTTGCCCCTTTATGGGCCCACAAATGTCAACTCAGGTCTCCTCCACTTCTCCTGTAAATTTTAACTGATTATTACAGCGGCCACTGTGAATCTCAGAGCCAGACCAACAGCCAGTTCTAGCATTCACATGACCCCATGGCCTCATCTCATATACCCACTCCCATCCTAAATTTCTAATCCACTTCCTTTTACCCCATGGCACTTGATGTATATTTATTAGCCTTTAAATATTTTCTGAAGTGAGGAACGGGTTAAAATCTTGTGCATAAATACAGCTGTTTCATTTTCTTAAACCAGAAACATGAAAAGAAGACATTTTTAACATCTCTGTATGAAGCCATCACTGCAAGTTGTTACATAAATAACTGTGCCATGCCCTAGAAATCTGACAGCAGCCCCCATACTGCCAGAGTTACAAAAGCTCAATCACACCTGATGACCCACATTCTAAACACCAACCAGAAGAGTTCAGGAGAGCCAAGCAAGTTGGCACCAGAGTCCAGCTTCTGAAATTGTGTGTGTTTGAGTGTGTGGGTACCCTTAGCCCTCTGCAAATTAAAAAACAAACAAACAAAAAACATTTTCTTGTTGCCTATTATAGGCAAGGCTCTTGGGAGCATCCCTTAAGAGAATATAATCTAGCTGGGAAGACAGGACATACAAATGAGTAGTTAGCCTAAGACCAAAACAACCATTCCAGATAACCACAGAAGCAGTATCATGAGTGGAAAGTGATTAATTGTTAAATGGATTTTATTGACATCAGCTGCCAAGAGGGGTGCTACTGGTAAAATTGTTTGGCAAGCAATATTCTCAGCCAGAAAAACCTACAGAGTCTTCTTAAAGTGGAAAGAGAAAATGATCTCCAAATACACAGGTATTCGAGGGAGTACACCATGAAGCAGGTGGGTGGGGCAGTTTCTGTACATCTGGATGTACAAGTTTGTACATCTTAACACTGCTTACGTTGATTTAAAGTGGTTCCATTAAGATACTAAAATGAGCCCTGGCCAGTTTTGCTCAGTGGTTAGAGTGTCGACCCGAGGACCAATGAGTCGCGGGTTCAATTCCAGTCAAGGGCACGTACCTCAGTTGCGGTTTGTCCCTTGGCCCTGTTCGGGTCATGTGGGAGGCAACCAGATGATGTGCCTCTCTCACACTTATGTTTCCCTCTCCCCCCACCCCCACTCTATCTGATGATAAATGAAAAAATGTCCTCAGGTGAGGATTAAAAAAAGATACTAAAATGAGCCCTGGTTGGTGTGGCTCAGTTGGTTGGGCATCATCCCATGCACCGAAAAGTTGCCGGTTCCATTCCTGGTTAGGGCATATGCCTGGGTTGCAGGCTTGATCCCCGGTAGGGGGCATGCAAGAGGCAGACAATCAATATAACACTCTCACATCAATATTTTTCTCTCTCCCTCTCTCTAAAAATCAATAAACAATTAAAAAATAATACTAACATGACCTCCACTTACCAAAAACAGAGACAACAGATGCACTTTGCCATGGAGTTAAACATCTGAGCACCTACATGTGCCCAGAGCTCTGATGCAGTGTAACGGCATCAGCCTTCAGGAAGCTTCAAACCTACTGCCTGAGTATCAAAATCCTGAATTGTACAGGAAACCCACCAAAAGCTGTGTGTTGACGTTGCATTTTAACAAGAATTAGTAATGAATGCCCAACAAGGTGCTGACCCTGGTCTAGAGAACTATATGCCAAGCCCACAGATGTTAGCCCAAAAGTGAGATATTTCAGAATCTGGACGCTCGTTTCCATTTGCACTTGTGTGATTTGCACACGTTGTCTCACTCACTTTATGTCCATAACAAGGTCAACAGTAAGTATTAGCCTGTTTTACAGATATGGAAGCTGACCTGCCCTTAAGGACACGTCCAGCAGGGGCCGGCTTGCAGGACCTCAGACCAGGGAGAGGCTCATGAGGCCAAGGGCACAGCCCCTGGTGCAGAGAAATGCTGCCCTGGTCGCTGGGTGCCACGACCCTTCTTCCCCTCAGACCTGACAACTGTATGCAGCAGAAAAAATGCTCTAGGGCAGTGGTTCTCACCCTTCCTAAAGCCTGGACCCTTTAATACAGTTCCTCATGTTGTATGTGGGTGTATCTGCATGTGGGCAGACCCTCCTGAAGAAGGATAGGGCAGCGGTGTCTCGGTTCCTAAGACCATTGGAAATATGTATTTTCCGATGGTCTTAGGCGACCCCTGTGAAAGGGTCATTCGACCTCCAAAGGGGTCACGACCCACAGGTTGAGAACCGCTAGGCTCTAGGGCCAAACACAAATCAAGGAGCCCTGCAAAGTCTGCAAGAGCACGCACAGGAAAAGGAGAAGTAAGATGAATTAAAGGCCTTGATTTGTGACCGACACAATCAGGTCTCTTCGGTGAGAGCTCAGAAGAGGCTCTATTACTAACTAGAAGCAAGGGTAGCTGAGGTTAAAGAGCAGACACTTGTCCAGGGCTTTATCCAACAGTTAGCTCAATTTCCCCGTCACATTAGCCCTCTGAGGGAGGAGCTGCCATCATCCCCATCTCACAGGCAGGAAGGCAGAGGCCCAGAGATGGCTATGAGGCAGCCCCCGGGGGAGCTGGGGTCAGAAGCCAAGCACTCCAGCTCTGCAGCCACATTTCTTAGTGACAGCTACCCTCCAGAATTCATGCTGCCACTCACAGACAAGGTGCAGAGTTATTTCATCACTCACGTTCAGTCTACAAAAGCTTTTCAACTACGACAGAAACCTGCAATACTGAATTCAGTGCCCGTGCAGGGCAAGTCTCTACGCTTCAATAACAGAGCAGTACAAGATTTTTTTAAAAACAGAGGCCTGGCCTGCCCTGCCCAAACTTGAAATCCCAGGGAAAGCCTTCTCAAAACTCAGAATATGAATGGCACTGGAAGTTCTTGCGGGTCCTGCTCCATTCCAGTTCTCCCATAGCTACCTAGAGGTCAGCAGTGAGCTAAAGCCAACTTTAGAAACAAGAAAGAAGACTCTAAGGATGGGGGTGGGGGTGGAATTCTCTGGAAAAACAACGTTCCGTGGTGGATTATCAACGCTGGGGTCAGCATGTGATGGGGCAAGAGCTTAGGGCCATGGAAGCAAAAGGACTCAGCCCTAAGTCCTGGCTCTGACCTTAGGCAAATGACGTTGCTTCTGTCTCAGAGTCAGTGTCCTCATCTATAAGATGACAGCAACTCTGCGTACTCCTGTGGACGAGATGACATACGTCAAATGGCTGCCCACTCAAGTGTGAGCCCTTTCTGTGTGCCGGGCAAATGTCAGGACAGTCCCTGCCTCAATTCAACTCATCATTCCAAAGTTTCTTCTCTGCAGGGGACCCTTATGGGATCAAGTTTTGAAGTCTCTGGATTTTAAACTACATGACAATGCCCTTCATTGTTATGCTCACAGAAGCCCTGAGGACTCATCAGTATAAATCGCCCATTCAAGCGATTCCAACGCCCTGTTCAAGGAATTTAGAACACGGTTCTTCAAATTTCTAGTGGCAAATCAGCTTAAGTGGTCATGCCAGAATTTAAAAAAAAAAACAAACTCAAACATTAAAAAACATCAGAGTGCAGTTTGTTTCCATTCTAAATGTGGTTTTCTCTGTGTGCTGAGTCTCAAATTGTCTAACAGGGTTGGGGTGGGAGGTCATGTCAAAAAGGTCTGCAAGCCACTAATTCAGAAGCAGAGTAGGTCAGGTCCCTGTCCTGAGTAGTTCATCATGTATCCTGCTGGGAAGACAAGACCACCACCAATGAGACAGCAGCAAACAAAAGTGCTGCACCCAACAAGGGGTTAGGCTGTGGGGTGTGGTCTGATGACCAGCAGAGGGTCAGAGGGAAAAGCAGTAAGCAAGGGCCAATGAGTGGGACCCCAGCTCCACACAGGGCCATGAGCAGAACAGACTAGTGGGCAGAGGGAAGACAGAAAGGGCCACGTTTGTGAGGGAACCACATGGTGTGCAGCACTTCAGGAGGCCACAGAGCCCAGCCTTCAAGGGCTCACTCCAGTAGAGGCAAGTAAGGTGTCGAGAGAGGCCAGGAATCCAGCACAGATAATAAAGACTGCCGTGGGAGCACGAGCCGCATGCTTACTGTGCAGGCCCCGAGGACAGCCGCCCACAGCTGGAGGAAGAGGAAAGCCCCTCACGAAGGGTGCATCTGAGGACAAAGGACAGGGGAGATCCGGGCCACGAAGGAGGTATCCTGACAGCACAAGCAGCAGCCAAGAGGTGCACATGAGCGGGCCTGTTCACAGCTTAGCGTGAGCACTCGAGACGGAGAATGATGCTGAGTCAAGGTTGTTTTGCTCTGGATTTTAAGTCTCAACAACAAGCTACGTGGAGCTGGCGGACAAGGAGAGTGGGGTAGATCTGGACTTGGTGCAGAGCCAGAAAGTAAACTGTGAGGGGTGGTGATGGCAGGGTCTACAGCATGTGTATGATCTGGGCAATGCTAACGGCAAGGACAAGGACACTAAATTTCTGAATTAAGTGTAATTAATTTGCCTGTTAAAAAAGAAAAAAAGAATGCCTACCTCAACAGACATTTGTTTTAAGAGAACAAAGCAAAGATCATGAAAACATATTCCTGGTAGGATGACAAGAGGGTTTGTCAATACTACTTACTGAACTGTAGAGAGCTGTGAAGATGGCCTATTATTCTAACAATCTGGCCAGTAGGAGCCCCAGCTTCTGGGAAAGCTACCTTTA